ATTCTTGAAGCGATACCTTCCAATATCCAGACAGCTCAAGATCGACCAGACAATCGGGCTCGCGTGTGGCAGCAGAAACTACAAGCGACGCTTGACGATTTAAACCAAGGCGTTCTGGGGCGAGTGCGCGCGCGGATTTACGTTGTCGAGTTTCAAAAACGAGGGCTCCCCCACGCTCACGTACTGATTATTTTGGCTGACGAAGACAAACCTCGAACCCGCGAGATCGTAGACAAGATGGTATGCGCTGAGATCCCAGATAAGGATACAAACCCTCAGCTGTATGAGACGGTCATGTCGTGCATGCTCCATGGTCCATGCGGGCCTGCAAACCCTTTTTTGCGCGTGTATGAAGGACGGCAAGTGCACCAAAGGATATTCGAAGCCCTTAGCAGAAGTTACACAAGCCAATGCCAATGGATATCCAGTCTACAGACGACGTCGACGGCAACAAGGTGTTCTAAAGTTCAAAGGCAGAGAATACGACAATGCTACGATCAACCAGTGGGTTGTACCGTACAACCCGTACTTATCCCAGAAGTACAACTGCCACATCAATGTGGAAGTGTGCACGGATATAACTGCGGTTAAATACCTGTACAAGTATGTGTACAAAGGACCCGACATGGCTATACTCACTGTGGAAGAAGTCCGAGGAGGGCAGCAGAGTGCGCGTCGAGAACCAAATGAGATTCTACGTTTCTTGAGCGCCCGGTACATTTCTCCGGTGGAAGCTTGCATGCGCCTGCTCGATTTCACGATTCAGGGGGAAACCCATGCGGTGACACAGCTGACGGTTCATCTCGAGTCAGGGCAGACGGTTTGCTTCCGCGAAACGGAAAACCCGGAGGCGGTTTTGGAACGTACTAGTCACACGATGCTGCCCAGATTCTTTGAGTTGTGTGCGAGTGAAGTGCCCGAGAATTATATTGCCAGAACGATGTTGTATCAGGACATCCCTAAAGAGTTCTGCTGGAAAGCCCGGAGAAAGGGCAACCGAAAAGGTGGGTTCGCAGGAAACAGTATCAAGCTGCGGTTGGTCGCATGATTCATGTGTCTCCTCAAGACATGGAGCGGTTCTATCTTCGGCTACTGCTCTGTCAGCGTAGAGGTCCAACGTCGTTTGAAGACTTGAGAACGGTTAACGGGATTGTCTGCCCCACATTCCAAATTGCGGTGCGGGAGGCTGGCTACTTGGAGAATGATAACGAGTGGGTTTCGTGTTTGAGGGAACGGCTGAGCTCCAAATGCCGTATCAACTACACCAGCTCTTCGTCACCATTCTGGTGTATTCAGCTCCAGCAAATGTTGGTGTTCTATGGGATCGGTTCTTCGCGGATCTTTCCCAAGACTTCGCACGCAAACATCAGGCTTTGATGGACCCCTTCAAGTCGGCGTTGATCGAATTTGAAACGCTGATGAGCATTCAAGAGCTACTTGAAGCGAACGGGTATGCGGTAGGAGACTTCGACGAGCTTCCTCAGTTGGGGTCGTTCCCAACATTGATTCGGGAATCGCTTCGCCAAAACGGCTTACTTCGACGTGAGCTTACTGGATACGATGCGTCAGCTTTGGAGGCGATTGTAAATACAGAAGACCAGCTGAACGAAGGACAGCGAGTGGTTTACGACCAAATTGTTGAAGCGGCTGAATGCCCGGAGGAAGGCAAGAAACTATTTTTTGTCGATGGCCCGGGTGGTACTGGAAAATTTACACTGCTTCGAAACATACTGGCCAAAGTCAGACTCTCGGGGAAAGTCGCCATCGCTGTGGCGTCTAGCGGCATTGCCTCGCTCTTACTTATGGGAGGTAGGACAGCTCATTCTACATTCAAGGTCCCATTGAAATTAAACGAGAGCTCGACGTGCGGTATCAGGAAGAACTCCCATATTCAGGAGCTGATCAAGCATGCAAGTTTGATTATTTGGGACGAAGCACCTATGGCCCATCGCCACGCATTCGAGGCAGTAGACAGAACACTACGGGACATACTTGATAACGATACCGATCCTTTTGGCCGGAAAGTGTTTTTACTTTCGGGAGATTTCCGCCAAATTCTCCCGGCCGTAAAGAGTGGAACACCCGTCGAGACGATTGACGCTTGCCTCAAGTCGTCTAGGCTGTGGCCCCAATTCCAGACGTTCCGTCTCACGGAAAACATGCGAGTGCGCACTGATACTGCAGACACTGCTGAGGAAATGGCTGTGTTCTCCGAGTTTCTGCTGCAAGTCGGGGAGGGAAGGCATGATGTAACTCCTTCCCTAGGAAGCGATTACATGAAGATCCCGCGCGATATGCTGATTGAGAATCCACCTGTGCCTGAGGATGAGGACCAGCAAATTCGTCCTGGTGTTATTCCAAGAGGCATGGATCGGATCATCGACGAGATGTATGGCGAGATTAACAACCCCGAAGTTGCTACCGATGAGTATTTCGCTAACCGTACGATCCTCACGACCACGAACGCAATCGTGCACCGCATCAATGAAGCGGTGACCGATCGATTAACTGGACAGGCGCGAGAATACATGTCTTCCGATTCTGTACAAGACGACGGTGATGGCAATTTCTTCGAGCAGGAGGTACTCCACTCGATGAATATCAGTGGAATGCCGCCCCACAAGCTGACCCTGAAGGTAGGAATGCCTATCATGATGATGCGGAACCTGAATCCAGATCGAGGGCTGTGCAACGGAACACGGCTTCGAATTGTGGCCCTCAAGCCACATGTCATCCACGCCACAATCATGACAGGTGAGCGACAAGGGCAACATGTGTTGATTCCCCGCATTGTTTTCATCAGTGACGAAGACATTCGGAGCTTTCCGTTTCATTTGAGACGCAAGCAGTTTCCTGTCCAACCGGCCTTTGCGATGACGATTAACAAGACGCAAGGACAAACGGTGCAGCACTTGGAGCTGTATCTTGCTACGCCTTGCTTCTCCCACGGGCAGCTGTACGTTGCGATGTTGCGAGTTACTTCAAGATCAAGATTCAAGGCGCTGGTCGAGTACCCAAAGCTGGAGGAGGAGGACGGGGTCTACGCCCATAACTTTGTATACAGGCAGATCTTTGGTTGAGAGTAGGAATGTTCAATTTCATATGCATTTAATACATCACGTTTACATAAATCATGTTTACGCCGGAGCGTAGCGAAGGCGGGAGCCCATTTCCCCTTGGACTAAAACCTGCCACCTCCGCCGCGTAGCGGCGGCGAACGGCTAGTCCTAAAGTATCAAGGCTAGCACGGTGTCCGTCCGTCCGTCACACGAAACGCTCAGATTTTTTAGCCTTCCCATTGGCTGCCGAGCGGAGCGAAGGCGGCTTCGATTGGTTAAAACTGAATTATGTAGCTTACATCAGTAAATTCATGTGGTTCACAGAGCACATATGGAGATTTGCACAAGACTATCCATTATCCGTATTCACTATTTTAATAATGCATGTTGCTTTTAATATTTAAGTGTTAAACAGACAGAGCTACTTATTCTCAAATGAAACAGCCCCTAAAGACGCTTCCTATGCTGCAAGGTGCTTAGCGTACACGTAGGAATGCGTGTTTTTGATTCCATACTATAATATACGTAATACTTTGTGTTCTTAATAGTTTCTGCAAGCTACAATGATATAAATAAAAGCTGTTTTGTTGTAGAAATATTAAGAGAATTTCTTACTGTGAGGTAGCTGACTGAGCTACTTCACGTACAACAGAAGCTGGCCGTAAGAACAACGCTTTGTTAATAAGCGTTGTCACTTGATCCACAAAGATAGATACTGTAGTTTTAGATTGAACAAAATGAACTCATATGTGTTACTGCTGTAAACCATTGTTTTCTAAGAGTTGTTTAGACAGCAAAATCCGATACTACTTAACTGGCGGACGTGTCCTCGACAGAGGCGTACGATACGATTTTAAATGGAGCTGCAAGACAACAACAAAACACGAGAGGTGTGAATTATAGTTGGTTAAGTAGACCCCATAAAGAAACGTTAATAAACTTGGAGGTCCAATAATCCTGAAATCATCGTTAAATTATCAAATAGAAAACACTACCGTCAACAGCAACAGCAGCAAGGCGTCTTGCGACACAATATTCAAATGCTTCAATCATAACTGGCACAGATTCGAGTGCTAATTCTGAATCAGCACAAAATGAACGCTACATACATTAAAAATAGAACAATTTGAATATTTTTAGCTTTCATTGAGTTTGATATGAAAAGTGAGCAATCTTTAGTTACGTACAAGCTGAAATAGGTAGTACAAGCAGGTAAGTAGAGCAAGTTGGACAGGCCATTACTATCGTTTGTGCTGATGTGAGCTAAGTTTCATAGCGGCTCAGAAATGGCACGAGATATCGAGCACGACGCTAAACGAAACATATTGTGAAGCGTTTGTATAAATGTTATTTGAAGTGCTGGTGGTTTTGGGTGGAAGATGAAGATACAGTTATTGCCAGCAATAAAATAGAAATTGCATCGAGAATCTTGATTCAAGATCATTAGAATAATTATTTCTTAAGTTAGGTAAGCATCAAGCTGACCCAAATTAATGAAATTAAAAAGAATCGATTTAGGTGCACATGGGCTCAACGTTTGTTTCAATAGTTATCCCGCCGAAGCGTAGCGGAGGTGGGAAGGCCAAAGCAAGTTGAACTAAACCTAAATTACCGCCGCGTAGCGGCGGCGCTCGGCTAGTCATTATCAGCCGGAGGAAGTACAGTACATGTACTTCCCGCGGTTGGAATCCCCTAAATAGAAATACGGGGGCCGTCTCCCGACGCTATGACAACAGAGGAGATTGTCTAAGCACATTTTATGCATAAGCGCAGTAGTGGTTCTCATGGAGCTCTTGTAAAATCATTTTACACAAAATGGCATGACCTCGGGTACATCAACTACTGTATCACCAACACTTTATCCTTAACAGCTCTGTTCCACTGGGTGTTTTACGGTGTGGCGGCAGTTGAACACGCACACACGGACACACTACGTTACTACTACTCACTATCTTCTTCGTCTTCAATCTCCTCGTTTCGCCCCAAAGCCGATAAATAACACTCAATAGCCTCATCGAGTCGCCCACGCTCGTGCATAATTCGCCCCAGCATCGCCACACCTCCTCCAGACGGTTGTAGCTTTAAGCTCGTCATGCATGCCTCCTCTGCAGCCGCCGGTTGACCGACCATCAATCGGCACTCCGCCAGCAGATACCACAGCGTCGCGTTCGAGCGCTCGATGCCGGTAGCACGCGACAACTCCAGAATGGCAGCCATGTACTCCTTCTGCTCCATGAAAGACTTTCCCGTTCGAATGGCTCGCGACACTGCAGCGTGCGCCTTCTCGTACCGAGCCACACGCACTTTGGCCTTTTGCAACTCTCTCTGTGCCTTTTGCGATCTCTTAACAGCCTCGCTGTACATATCCAGTAGATCTGGCAGCTCCTTTTGGTGCTGAAGAACAAGAGCTTCCAGGTCTGAGATCTGGCGCATCATCTCTTGGTCGCTCTTGGTCAATTTGTAGTTGGCAGTTGTTCGGGCCTTTTTATTTGCCTCAAGACTGGCAGCGTCGATTCCTGCGATTGCCTCCTTCTTTGCCCGAAGTTTTGCAGTCAGGTCTTTTTTCCCTCGGTTGGATGCAGCAAGAAGTTTCGCGAGCGACTCGTCTTCGTCGTTGCTAAAGTAGTCGTCGACGCTGCAAAACGAACTGTCGCTACCCATTAAAGCCCGCGTCTCCTTGAATCCGTCATTGTCAGAGATAGACGACGTACGCGATGACTTGGCTCCACCACTATTTTGAGACGATAGCTTTCTACCATCATCGCTTCCCTTCCGCTCTCGTAAAATCTCGTCGCTGTCTCGGAAACTAGCATCGGGCCTGCCACGCTGGAACGGCGGTACCATTTTACGAACACTCAGCGTTTCACTACGGGCCTTAGTGTCGCGTCTGCGCCGACTCGATGGCTCAGCATTGCGTCTTCGCTCACCTGAATACGCTTGCGGGGCAGCTTTGCGTCTGCTCACTCCTCTGGTTGACTCCTCTTCACTATCTTCCTCGATCATGGGCTTCAGACTGGTCTTCTGCATCGCTGCTTTTGCAGGCTTCGGGTTTAGATACTTCTGCGTGATGGCCGAAACTTCAAAGCTTTTAACACTGCTGGAGGAGGCGCTGAAGTCCAGATGCTCCTTCTTCTCCATCGATTCACGATGAGCGCTATTCTCTCCTGGCCGACGCACCGCTTTCTTCTTGTTCACTGCATCGCTACGTGCCTTGGCTGCCGAGTCTTCGTGGTCGGATCCTGCTAGGCTGAAAATGGAGAAAGTCGAATCAGCAAATGCACTTGGCTTCTCTTTCTCCTCCTTGCGGCGCTGCGGCTTGGGCTTTGGTGGAGGCGCTTGGGGCTTTATTTCATCGTTCGCATTCAAAGCAGCGTACAGGTTACTCAGGGTTGACGACGTAGTGCGGCACGTAGATGACGTGTCTGCACGTGTCTTGCCACTCGCTCGCTTAACGAGGCTGGGCACGGGGCTACGCATCTGTTCATGCTTTCGGTTCCTACTCGGCTCCATGGTTGGCATTCGACGCCGCTCTTTCTGTCCTGGTGAGTCGCGTGAAGATCTTACACGTGGAGCGCCATCGAACAGATCTCGCTCGTGCAGAGCTCTGTCACGTCGCTCTCTCTCACGAGGATCCCTTTCACGTCGTTCCCTCTCACGGGGGTCACGTGGGTCCCTTCGAGGATCTCTTTCTCGCGGATCTCTTGCACGGGGGTCTCTGTTCCGTCGATCTCTCTCGCGTGGATCTCTTTCTCGAGGATCTCTTTCTCTTGGGTCTCGCGTCCGTCGTTCCTTCTCCCGTAAGTCTCTTTCGCGCGGGTCTCTCTCGCGTGGGTCTCTGTTTCGTCGCTCCTTGTCACGTGGACCATGAAATAAGTCTCTTGGGTGCAAATCTCCCTCTCGAGATGGTCGGTCACGTGAAGATTTACCACGCGAGGAAACCACTTCTCGTGGATCTCTTCCGTGAGGAGACCTTGCGGCACGGGGAGACTTTGCCCGAGGAGACCTCATGCGGCGATCGCGCGTTGCGTGCATGGTACGTGGCTCTGCATCCCGTCGCATGGCCCGTCGAGGCTCCTCATAGTCGTCATCTCCGTTCCACGTTCTGTTATCTCTTCGAGCCTCTTCCAAAGTTTTTCTCGGCCCACCGCCGGGGCTCCGCATTCGCTGCCCATATTCACGTTCATCCTTCGCTTCGAGTGTGTGTCGTCGCGGTTTGTCGTCAGGCAAGTCGCGACGAGGTGGAGGCGCAAGTCCTCTCGCAATACTGCGGCACTGTGGGTAGCACTTGTCGCACACTCGCTGCGGCACTTTAGACAGCGAGGTGGGCACTATGACCTTGTTCCTGGAGTGTTTACCACAGACCGAGAGTCCGCAGTGGCGGCAGTGGTGTCGTTTGTTCATGAGCGAGAACTCGGTGCTGCAGAGGCCGCATCGGTCCTCGACTTGCCAGCGTTTGGGTTTAAATTGGGCCATGGCACTGTTGCCGCGTGGAGCTGCGGCGGCTCGCGGCGGCGCCTGCGGTTGTGGCATGCGTTGTGCAAGGCACTCGGTAGGATAGTCCGTCCCTGAGCAGCTACGAAATTGTCTGCTTGTCGGTCGGGCCTCTGTCTCCTTCTCTATGCTGCTCTGCTCCACCCTCCGTTCGTCCGTCCGTCGCCACGTCCGTCCGTTCGCTGCTTCCCGCCGACTAGCGAGCGAACTGACTGTGATTCCCCCGAGACAAACTTTAGCTTCGAGTGACGATGGCAAAGCTGAGCTGTATGTACAGGCTGTACCGTACAGTGTACGGTTCACACGACGCTCGACACGAAGAGGAAAGACAGGCGGGCGGAGAGCTTCGAGAAGATGCGCAGGGAACAGACCCAAACTGCGACTCAAATTGCCTGGCGGCTCCAGTGGAGCTGCTTCAGCCCCGCTCTTTGTCTACGAGGCTATTAACACCACATGCTTATTGCCACAGACTGCTGTCGGGAGTTATTAATAAGAGGTTACGGTCCCAATATGTTGCGGGGTCAATCACTGGATGGTACCAGGTGGCGATGGTGTCACTGGGAAGGCGCTGCAACACCGGAGCCTTTGGTCGCGGGCTCACACTGCAACTTGCAGTGCCGTGAGGCCTGCAGTGCAAGCCTCACGGTACCGGTACATGTATCGGTATCGAATGCTGGTCCGACCATTCCATACGAGTGCCGTCATCGCCGTAGCCCCTCCTTTGCCTCAAGCAGCATCTGGTTTGTCATCGTGTGCGACACATTCTTGAATACTTTTATGATTGCACACCAATAGTTTTACAAAGTAATGTTGTGTTTCTGCATAAATATTTTAAGAAATATTAATACTTTTACAGTAGCTACAGTAATACTAGACGCTCACTGCATGTACCTTAGTACTAGGTGTAGATTCTATTTTTAGGACTTGAAAAAGTCGCATACTTGTACTTCAGTATTAAACAAGCTCAAAAGTACCATCGTGGTTATTGCACCTACCGGAAAAGTTGCATCAACAAGTTTAATTGTCGTACCGTAAGCCCACATTCTTTTTATATCATAAGCTTATGCTGTGAATGATGTCCTCCAGCGAGAGCCATCCTGTACTGTATTGTACTTGAAGAAGTGCAAGAGAAAACGGAGGGTGGAGACGTGTATGTAAACGATATCTTAATAGACATTGCATGTAGACCTCACAACGATCCGTTTCGGTCTAGCTAGCCGAATATTTTGCTGCGAAACAACCTCGTCTTTGAGATCCCGCCGTAGATTGTTTTTGAGCACTTTGAATCCTTTATTTTTTATTTCCGACTTCTTTCGCTAAAAGCTCAAAAATAAACTGGGAGGCTGTTGCCTTTCGTGAGCGACGGTCGTCTCCAGAAGTGAAAAGAATAAGATCTACAATTGGTCGAAAACATGTTGCTTTTTTCGACAAAATCAAAGTAAGCAAAAGATTCTTTTTTTACATGTAGAGTGCGAATTATATCCATTTTTTTTTACCGTAACTGTATCCATAAAAAAAAATACATTAAAAAAATCTCCATTTGCCTACAAACGTATCCGTATGGACGCCTTCCTAAAGCGCCAGCTGTTCGCGCAGGACGTGGTGGTTCTTCCAGGCCAGCCGACGGATCATAGCGATGATGGGGTCACTCATAAGGAATCCTCGCTCGTGGAGGCGCACGGGGGTGTCGTGGCTGGCGACGACAAGCAGTCCAGCGACCGTGTCAATGTGGTGCTGCTGTCCGGCCAGGTCCAAGACGGCATGCTCAATCAGCTGGTTGTACGCTTCCCTAGGGCCGAGATCCTACGCGCTCATTGGGTTAACGACAGCGTCCGAAAGAACCGGCGGCTCTCTACGCTGCCCTACCGTCTCGTAGAACCTTTAACTGCCGATCCACCGCCCACTAAGAAGCAAAAGGTCTCGGATTCAAGCGCATCCTTCTTCGCTGCTCAAAAACCAACCGCATCTACTGATGTAGGATTGCCCGAGCCAAACTTCACGCCATGGACAACTGTACAAGGCTCACTGTACGTTTTGGATGCTCGGGCCAAGCAGCAGCAAGAAGAAGCCGCGGATAAGTACAAGATCGCAGGTTTTGATCTCGACGGCACGCTGATCGTCACCAAGAGTGGCAAGAAATTTGCCAAGGACAAGAACGACTGGAAATTGTTCCATCCGACCCTCGTGAGGGACAAGCTGGCTCAATTAGCGCACGACGGCTTCACGCTGACCATCTTCTCGAACCAGAACGGCATTGCCAAAGGACATATTTCAGCTGCACAAGTGCAGGTCGATAGAAACTCATTTGCGTTGTGTCTAGCGGTCGATGAAGAGTAACTACTGAGTGAACTTGCTTTCTGCTGTGTAGAGCAAGCTGGAGGCAATCGTGAAGCAGCTGAAGTTACCGATGCTGGTATTTCTGGGGACAGAGAACGATTTCATGCGAAAACCGCGTCTAGGTGCCTGGGAGGAGATGACCAAGTTGCTGAGTATCAAAGGAGAGGAAGCTGTCGACAAGGAAGCGAGTTTCTACTGTGGGGACGCTGCAGGACGCCCGAAGATAACTGGACGCGCGAAAGACTTCGCTGCGACAGATTACAAGTTCGCGCTGAATGCCGGGATTCGCTTCTTCACGCCTGAGGATTTGTTCCTGGGCACAAAGCAGCGTATTCATACGCGTCCTGACACATGGGAGCTCGGCTTTGACCCAAAGTCGATAGCTCTCCACGACTCTAGTGGTACGATATCGCCTTTATCTTTTGTACGCTAGCAGATGATGTTGAACTGACAAAGTATCTTCTTGTCTTTGAAGAGCCATTGCTCAGCTCTTCTTCAGCACAAGCTGCAAGAGCTGACCAGGAACTCGTTGTTCTCGTGGGTCCACCTGCGTCAGGGAAGTCGTTCTTTGCCAAAATCTATCTAAGCTCCTACGTCGTTGTGAGTCAAGATGAGCTGCGCACTGCTGCTAAGTGCAAGAAAAAGTGCCTAGAAGCGATTGAGCACAAGGAAAGCGTGGTTATTGACAATACCAATCGTGACCCACGGTCAAGAAAAGAATGGATTGCGATCGCAAAGGAAAAGGTATGTCCAGCATTTCAACGTCCAGAACAATGTTAAAGAAACTCACAACGTACTCCCTAATATGTCGGACAGAGCCTACCCATCCGATGTTTCGAAATGGACGTCGACAAGCCTCTCTCGATGCACCTCAACACGTTTCGATCGCTCATGGAGCAGAAAAAAATCCCCGACGTCGCCATCCACGGATTTTTCAAGAACTTCGTGGCGCCTACGGTGAGTGATACGCGTGCATTGCCGAATCGCATGGTCTATTGACGCGTCTTACGTTTCTACTAGGTGCAGGAGGGGTTCGCAGAGGTGGTGAAAGTCCAATTTCGAATCGACAAAAGCCTCACCGATGCGGATCAAATGCTCCTGCGGTCCTATATTTGAAAGACTGGGTGGGTCTGAAGGCTCTGCCTGGTCTCTCTATTAATACCAAACTGTGGCTTCCGATTCTCAGGCCTTGTGCTTTGGACGATGATGTATTTTGGGGCTTGCTGATGGTATTTGCAGAGCTGCAGGCTCTCTCACTCTTTCACTCTTTTGAGAAGTCAGAGACGAAGAGCGGCCGAGCGGGCAATGTCTTCCAAGATCAAGGATGGACTTTTCATGGGGGACATGGATGCAGCCCAGGATGCAGATTTCCTACAACTGAATGGGATCATGCATATTATCAATTGTGTGCCCCGTCAAGTGCCCAACATCTTCCAACAGAGTTTGGGCTTGTCGTACACGGTGTGCGACCTGGAGGACGTCCTACGACGACCTTTCTTCAATCTCAAGAACCGCGAGTTCACGCAGATCATCCAGCTTATCGATCGAGCTTTGGAGCGGACCGAAAGTGTGCTGGTGCACTCGTTAAATGGAACCAACCGCAGTCCAAGTATCATGATCGGGTACCTGATGGTGAGATACTGTTGGGGGTTAGATAAAGCGCACGAGTTTGTGATGACCAAACGTGCGGACATGAAGCTGCACGAGTCGTACATTGACCAGCTGTGCTCACTAGAAGCGCAAGTTCAAGAGGATCGTCCAGCACGCGCAACGGAACGCCAGCTGTACGAGTGGAGTACACATGCGGCAGATCCAACGACGGATGAGGTTGTGCTCATTCACACATTCCTGAACACTGCCGCTACTCCTGATGCAAATACTGCCCCAGAGCGGCGACGAGATACAAGCAAACGGCATCGCGAGCGTCGACTGACTTGGATTGATCAAACCCCTGAAATGGTACGCAATCACACCGAGGATATGGCCTACCCGTTGGATTAACAACTGTGACTCTCTTATATATTTCAGAGGAAACTGCATCCATCATTGCTCGTTCGACCGGAACGTCCTCCCAACAATTCCTACAACAAGATGACGGCGGTGAGTTGCGTGGTGGGCATCTCTTGTGATAATATTTAATTATAATTTTTGGCAGGCAAACGGGTGGGTGGACTTGCTAGATCCTTCGCCAGTACTTGCCCACCAAGCTAAAATCAAGGTAGAGTCCACTTCAGAATTGCCAAAAGTGATTCATGTCCTACCTATTGCTGTATATTGTACGTAGGAAATACCACCACAAGAAGTTCTTCGCTCCGCTCGAGTGGCTTTTGCCGATCTGTCTACTTCTGGATTGAGCTCTAAGCTTGACGCACTATCATCGAGTAGGTATGTGGACGAGCCGGAGTTTGACCTGGGGGGCCCAGAAGCTCCGCTACATGTAGTGCACAGCATCAAGCGTCTCCATTCTTTTTCTGCGCCAAAGAGGACTGTGGTGTTAGACGACGAGGTGTCATCGTCTCCATCAACGGCCAGCGAAGAGCTCGACTTCATGCCAGAAGTGTCCAATCCTCGGTATCTTCGCGGAACTGTATCATCTACCAACTCTCGGCCACGGCGTCTTTCAAGTACTGTTCCGACTGCTTCAAAGCGGTCAACGACTTCAACTAAGCGTTCGTCACTTCCAACAAATGGACGCAGCTACGACACTAAGACGTCCAAAGGTACAGCGAAGAAGACGACGAAGACGACCACAGCCTCAAATACCCGAACTGCGTCAACCACAACCTCCAGAGGACGCGTGTTCTTCAGCGCCGACTTCCCACCTCCGTCGTCCTCGACAACACGAACTCGCAATGGCCACATTCTGATGGGCTCAACACGACTCTCAACGACCGATCCGCTGTCTCATGCTTCTGCACCGACACGCCCTCGAACGGCACCGCCGCGTATCCGCACAGACGTCGAAACGAAGGATTTGTTGCAGAGCAAGAAGGTCGAACTGGGCGGATTCAGCCGTATCACCATCGATCCGAAGACATCGTACCGTATGCACTCGTCTTTGGACTTCACAAATGACATCGGCATGGATGCCAACGTCTCCAGCAGCTCCTCGACGCGTGGTACGCGACGGACGTCAGCATCCAATGCCACTGGCTATGGCCGGCCCAAAACAGCTCGAGCTTCGTGGCGGTAGGCAATTTATCCACAAGAATGTCGATGGAAACTCAGAAACAAACATCAGATACTATGACCGATGGCATGAACACGTCAATAAATGCTGCTGATAGTTGTCAAGAGTGTTTCTCACTTGTTTATCCCTGGTGTCTGAAGTTAGCTCGGCACGAAGCGACGGACAGTAAAAGCGAGAGCCTTATCCATTGAAGCTCTCCATTTCTGGTTCCGAAAAAAAAGATTGTACCACAAAGATCTCGGATCTTGAAGAGACGCTTTCGTTAGGTGGCCCTTCAGGCAACAATTGCTCGTTCGAGATGAAGAAGCTCTTCAAGTTGGCATCCAAGTTCCACGGTGTGGGACCTGTGGTCTTTGCGTGGCATCCGAACGGGACATTCCTTGCAACTGCGGGTAAAAATGGTTTAGTCCACATCTTTGACCGACAGGGTGAGCAGCACGACGAGATCGGACTGGATTTGACAGCTCCAGTTGTTGCTCTCGAATGGGACACTGAAGGCAGTACACTCGCCATTCTACAACAAGGGAGTAGTGTCGTCCCCCTATGGGATAACGGCACACGATCAACGTTGAGTCTTGACACGAATCTCAAGGACCCGACGTTTGCTCGGTGGTCCAAAGAGGGTTCGTTACTAGCAGTGGGGACTCAGAAGGGGAACCTCGTTCTCTACAGTAAAATCACTCGGAAGCTCGTTCCTGTGGTGGGGAAACACTCGCGTCGCATATTATGCGGATCTTGGAACGGAGACGACAAACTGGTGCTGGGAGGAGAAGACCGGATGCTCACAGTGAGCAACCCTCAGGGTGACACCATTGAACAACGTGAACTGAGTCACACGCCATGGGATATCAAGCTTGGTCGCAAGAGAGGAGACTCCATAAAAGCAGCCGAGCAGTTGATTGCAATTGCACTGTCCAAGGCCATCATTCTCTTTAACTTGCAAGACCCTGCCAACCCCGTGGAACTCACCTTCCAAACAGTAAGTTCGTCTAGTTTCTTCTTTGTGCTGTGATAGCTTTCTAATGTGGTTTCCTGGACTCTATTGTGTAGCATTACGGCAGTATCATTTTCATTGAATGGTTCGCGGACGGCATGATCATGATTGCCTTTTCTGAAGGATATCTCATTGTCATTTCCACCAAGACCGATGTAAGGATCAGAACGGAAAGCCTCGCAGTGCATTAATTGGAGCCACATTTTTTGATATTGTTCTTGTGTAACAGGAAGTTGGAGAGGAACTCCAGTCACATCGATTCTTCTCAGAGCGGATCTTCACGGCCTGTTACTCGTCGACGCTCGACCGCGTGGCGCTTAGTGGCGAGAGCGGTATCAAAGTTGTGGACATGACGACGTTCACTGAGGTCGCTGCAGACTCCATCAAACTCTCCGATACAGAGGTGCAGCAGTTCTCAATACAGCGGATATTCTTTGGTTTCTAAACCTTTCATTTCCCTGCAGGAGAACGAGGCACACCTGATGAATTTCACGTCGGATGGTCAAATCTTGACTGTGGCGACACAAGGAGGCACAGTACTAAACTTCCTAGCTCGAATGCCCCGAATTCACGATCACTACGGCCACTATGTCGCCTACCTCAGCTCGTTACGTGAACTTAGTGTAGTCGACACCCGTCGCAACGAGACGGGTAGCAGCAGCAACGGAGCGATTCGAATCGCCTTATCGGTGGAGCCATCGTTCGTTGCAATTGGACCTCGCCACGTAGCTGTGGGCATGAACAACCGTGTCTGGTTCTATCGTTGCGATGGATCTTCAGCCGACGCGCTGGTTAACGAGCAGCAGTATCTCGGTCGAGTCACCAGTATGAAGCTTAATCGCGACTACGCAGTTGTGCTGTGCGATGGTAAAGCGAGCTTACACCTGATTGAACCAGGAGGCGGAAGTCCCAGCGGCTCTCACTCGCTCACAAACGGCGGTGAATTGCAAGGCGAACATGGCAAAGTTTTCTCCGGTGGCGGTCGCGATGAACGCAACAGTGAGATCAGCGCTGTAGCTCTCACGAAGGACTTCTTCATCTACTCAACGACGAACGGTACAGGCTCCATCCAGTTTTTCTACCTCAAAGCGTGGCAATTCCTCGATGGCTGCGCGTATCGTCACGAAGACGGAGTGGGGGTCGTACAGCTCGCACCAAATAAATCTGGCACTCGGGTTTTCTTTCTGGACACGAAGCGCCGTGGGTTTATACTGAATGCCGCAACACGCGAGACCATGAGCGTCCCAAATCTACCCACCAGCACCTCTGGAGTGCTCTGGGATATGGTGGATCAGCAGGTTTTCTTAGCACTTCAACCGAAGGAAATGGGAGTCTTCCAGCTAGCAGATTCTACCATTCGCGGCCCCGAAGTCACACAACTTGGTGTCTTGGAAATTCTACCAGACGGCGACGTGCTCATCGCCCCACAAACCACTTCAGTTCCAGCAGACTTGGAGCCGATCCTTGTTAGTGACGGGATTGTAACCTGTCAGCATGCATCAGGAGGGGGTCGACTGGCTTCGGTAACTTGTGTGACCCACGACCAGCTACGTAAAGTTCCTCCCACCTCAACGGGATCAGGAGAACCAGAGAAAGCTGCTTTCAGGCAGAATTTGAGCTTGTTACGTCTGGATGAAGCGTGGAGATTGGCGTCTCGTATTGATCAACGTGATTACTGGCTCGCTCTCGCTGGACGTGCGATGCACACACTTGATATAACTGCGGCTCGACGTGCGTATCGATCTCTGGGAGACTCGGGGATGGTCCTTGGTCTCGATCGCTTGGCTGATATTGAGGAGAAGAACCTCTTGGCAGGCCACGTGTGTATGCTCTTCGGTGACTACAACGAAGCTCGTCGTCTCTTCTTGAACTCGAGTGATCCATTAGCAGCTCTGCATATGCAACGTCACTTGTTGCAATGGGAACAGGCCTTAAAGCTCGCTGATTCTCTAGCACGCGATCTCGTACCGGAACTGAGTGCTGTGTATGCTACACAATTGGAATTCCGTGGGGAGTTCGACGCTGCGCTGAGAATGTACGAACACGCCGTCAATGCCATTGAAAGTGTCAGCAGAGACGACAGCATCCAAGGCCCAGAACCAGAAGTTGCCGATAAGCTCAGGACGCAGAGTCTCGCGGGTGTGGCTCGATGCACATTTCGTCTGGGAGATCTTCGTCGTGGCGTGAAACTCGTGACGGAAATCGGTGACTCTGCTGTGTTCAAGGACTGTGCTGCGATCCTGGAATCCATGAAGCAGATCGCCGAGGCTGCAGCATTGTACGAACAAGGCGGACAGATCGAAAAGGCTGCTCAGCTGTTCGTACAGATGAAGAACCTAGCGCGTGCTGCACCGTTGATGACTCGCGTGAAGGCGTCAAAAGTGCACGCACAATTTGCACGAGCGAAAGAAGCGGCAGGTGAATTTGCTTCCGCAGCAGAAGCGTACGAACGAGCCGGAGAAATGGACAATGTCGTGCGTATGCAGCTCGAGCATCTCGACGGCGCCGAACGAGCTTTTGAGATTGTTCGTGAGACCAAATCGTCCGAAGGAGCCTTGTCGGCAGCTCGTTATTGCGCGGAAGCAGGTCGATACCCGAACGCAATTGAGTTTTTATTGCTAGCTAATAAGGAAGACGAGGCCTTCGCGTTAGCTCAGCAACATGGCCAAGTGGACTGCTTTGCTGCGACGTTGGGACAGGAGAATATGGCGGCTAAGAGAGCGTCGCAAGTGGCTGCACATTACGAGGGATTATCACCTGAACGTGCAGCCGAATTCTATCAGGCTGCTGGGAACTACCACAAGGCGCTTAAATTGCTCTTGGCGTGCAGCGCAGCAGGTGGGAGCTCTGGAGGTAGCGGATCCGCGGCGGACTCTGCACTTGTACGTGCCATTGAAGTGGTTGGAGCAGCACGCAACGATATGCTCACGCATACGTTGATCGACCATCTTATGGGGGAACAAGACGGCATTCCTAAAGACCCTCACCACATCTTCCGACTATACTTGGCGCTGGGGAACTACACACAAGCAGCCAAGACTGCAGTGATCATTGCTCGACAGGAGCAAGAGCTTGGCAATTACAAGCTAGCACGCGACGTCCTAGTCGAAACGTCACGCCAACTACGTGCTCGTCGCCTGCGAGTGGCTCGAGAGCTTCGAAACGCTCTGGCGTTGCTGCACAGCTACGTATTGGTGAAAAAACTTGTCAAACGATCACAGCACGGGCCGGCAGCTCGAATGCTCGTCCGTGTGGCACAACATTTGTCCAAGTTCCCTACGCACGCCGCTAATATTCTCATCTCTGCGGTCATCGAGTGTCAGCGTGCAGGTTTGCGTGCGTACAGTTATGACTTTGCTGCAACTCTCATGCGTACACCTGAATACCGCGGATCGATGGACAAGGACATCCGACGGAAGATCGAGGCAATTGTGCGTCGCCCGAATAAGGAACAGCCACCCGATACTCGAACACCATGTCCGTACTGCTCGCACGAACTAGCTGAAGCTGAATTGGATTGTCCTACCTGCAAGAACTCCATCCCCTATTGCATTGTCACGGTGCGTACACAAACAATGTACCCATTATGCAATATCTTGTCTGATGAGTTTGTTGTAGGGCTTTCACATGGTCAAAGATGACTGGACTCAATGTCCGCGTTGCACCTTTCCAGGTCTGTACTCGCAGTTCGTGGAACATCTCGGCGCCGACGCAACTTGTCCGATGTGCGAGCAACCGGTAACACCCGCAGAGCTGCACAAGGTTCCTGAAAATGAGGTGATTTTGGACGACGAAGTCACTCCAGATGCTGCCGAAACGGGAGCGTCTCCGTAGCCGACGCCAGCTCCTAGCAGGATACAAAGTCAATCACAGTAGAACGATTCTGTACTACGTTACCAAACAAACAGCCATTCATTCAAAGTGCATGTCAATGTATTGCATAAAGCTGCTCGAAGAGTTCAACAGGAAGATTAGGTTCACGAATACTGGTACCCGGATCGAAGCACTTAACAGTACTACTACTAGGTGCTGGGGCTGGCAAAAACGACTTGCAGAATGGGGTATCGTACGCCCACACGACTTTGGTCTGCGTTTCCACCCACGTAGGGAAAGTCGATAGACTCGTGTTCTGGACGTTAAAAGACACAATGAGGGAGTTTGGTCCCATCAGCGACGCTGGCAGCTCGTTAAGTGGATTCCTGTTGAGTCGCAATTGGAGGATTACCGTGTTGGAAGGCACACTCGCGTCCGCAGAGATCCTCTCGATGTAATTACCCATCAAGGAAAGCACGACGACTTTCATGGCGAAAAAGTCGGGAGGAATGATCTTCAGTTTACTATCCTCGATTGCCAACACCGCAAGACCGCTCCATCGAGCAGGTAGATCATGAGGCAGCTCTGACAAAGTCGACCCAGAAATTCGAATTGTCTTAAGTATGCGTGGCAAAGGTTGTCTCAAGCCCACAGGTATTTCAGCCATTTGAATGTTCCTCAAAAGTATCGCCACCAAACGCGTGTGTTTTGACGATGAGATGGAGCTGTCGAGATCCCAGCTCGTGATAGTCGAGTTGAAAATGTGAATCATCATGAGACTGGAGAAATTCTGAAATGTGGAGGGCATTCGCAGTGCCGGGCAGTGCACAATCGCGAGACCCACGAGGGTTTCATGATCAAGCTGCTTGAGCGATGCATCGTCCAGCGTGGGTATGTTTCTTGCATGGCAATCGAAAATCAAGCTGGAGCATGGCTCTTTCCCATTAGAAATCCACGGTCGCGTGATGGTTCTACATCCAGAGACTCGGTAGTTGGCGGCTCGTTGTGCTGCGGGCCAAGTGAAGCGAAAGTATGACAAGTCCCCAGACGAAAAAGACGACTTGGAAAATGAGGCGCTCCCACTTCTGGAGCTTGCTGGAAGCTTCCTTTTTTATTAGGGTTACATGTATTCCAGATTGTGCAGATGCGTCTTGAGACGTGTCACTGCAAGCGATAGTACTTGATCCCTTGACTTTTCGTACGTTCGCGCTCCCTTTCTGAGTATAATTTCTCGCACATGTGTCTTGACAGCTTATGAGATTCGTCACTGTCGTCAGTGACAACAGAATGCCTATGTGCGGAATAAACTTGGTGACAAATTCGATAAAATTGGATGCAAAGATGAGTTGGTTCTCCAACGACATCGTCGAGATTGCCACTGTATCGTGCAGATAACTTGGGTTTTTAAATGCCCCCGCGTTGATGTTAAATGCTTGCACGTACGGATTAAAGATGACAAGAGGTACGACGACTATCATCCCGGTGGTGAGTACAACGTCAGACAGCAGCAGCACAGCCCGGTGAAAGACTGGTGATCCCTTTAGAAAATATTCAATCGCAGCAGTCGCCCAGAAGTTGGTAACCAAAAGCGCCACGTTGAAGAGATTGAGCTGTGCACTCGGTAACAGCATACTCGACTTGTACGCTTGATAGGTTTGGGAACTTGTTTCCAGGAGTTCGCGTAGTGCAAACACGGTTGAAAAGTGCTTACTCTCGACGCCGAAGATCCCATGACGTGAAAAAAGAGTCCTCCACGTCATCAAGGTTGTCCACGACAGTTGCCGCCCTAATGCGGAGGAAGACAGTACTGTAGCGGCGATAGATTTGAGGACACCCGATTTGAAATGCGTGACACGGCCTCAACGGTAAAGTCCCTGCTTGTTGATCGCAGGACAAAACTTCTGGCTCGAATAGAGAAAATGATCAACTGTAGCACGCGAATGGCGTGCATGGCCCCGATGATGCCGAACACGACCCCATCGAGACGATAGTTCTGGTTCATTTTAGCCGACCAAAGCACTGTGTAAAATGCCATGCTCTCCTGAGCAAGGTAGCAGTACGTCAGTGCGGCACAAATAAGGAAGATACCGCAAACAGTATGGAGAGCGACGATAGTGCACCACATCGCCACAAATCTTGCTGGGGTGAGACTCAACAGGAGAGGATACTGCGGGACTTGCTGCTGCAGCTGGGAAACTTCTCGCGAGCTCATGTCTCGACAATCTAAAGAGAAAATGGTAGAAGTACTAGTGCGTATGGTCTACGTCTAAATTGAGTTTGCCGTTGTATCAAGCATTCGATCCCGCTTATAGAATCTCATCCCGGCTGTGATGGCACACTTGCCTTTAGCACACCGAGTGTGCTAAAGGAGCCTATTGAGCAACTTAATTGTGCCCTTTCACTCAATTCAAACGTTAAGGTGCGGAAACGTGAATTTCGAGCCAAAATTCGAGCGGAATGAGGCGGATGTAGAAAGGTGCCTGTTGAAATTCAGGTGGAATGGATCATTCATACTAGATTGTACTAAATTTAAACGTCGAATCACTGTGATCCAAGGTTTATTCGGGGTCGACAACCGTTGTGGAGAAGTGCATCTTCGTCGTATCGAGCACATATTTTACTCGAGCTGGACTCGAATACCATTCAACAATTGCTTGTAAACTATAAACTATTCCGCTTATACTTTACTTCGTTGATCGTCTGTGAGCTACGTAGCACAAAAGTGATCTCGCAGAACGTCTACTTTTAAAACTGACGAATGACAACGATCTCTGAAGTGGCGTCCCTTCACCCAAGCGCTTGGACAGGAACACATTCGAAACACACTCACGTAAACTACAATGGACATGTCGGCGGAAAATCCGTTTGCAGATCTCATGACGAAGGCAGTCAAGCTGAAAGGTGCCCAGCAAGCTCAATTACGGACTCAATACGATTCGTGGCCACAGTACTTCCAGCACTCGCTGTTCATGCAGGAATCAGTAGTGGCCGTTCGCTCCAAGCCTTTTCCTGAGCGAATAGTTGCTGCTGAGAGTATGAAAGTCGCTGGAAATGCTCATTTTAATGGCGAAGCGCTCGAAGACGCCGTGGCTGAGTACGAAAAGGCATTGGCAGTTTTCACGTATTTGGAAAATAAAGATCCTGGCTGGAAGAAGAAGGGAATTGAAGACAAAGACATGCTGATTATCGACTTCAAGTGTGGTAATCCAGAAGACCAAAGGCGAATCGATTCATTGAAAGTATCATGCTACTTGAATATTGCAGGTAAACTTGCTACTCTCCCCGAAGTATTCATTCAGCTGTGCTAAGTTGTAAAATTAATATTGCAACAGTGGCAAAGTTTAAGCTGAAAGAGTATTCTGTCTGTGTCCGGGCATGTGAAGACACGCTTAAGCTTGATTCAAACAATGTAAAGGCTTACTATCGGTGAGGGGGGCAATAACTCTTCTCATTTTCAAGGTTTTAATAAATGTTTGGTGGCAATAGGCGAGCACAGGCTCTCATCACTCCTGCGTCGTCCGGTGCTCTAGAGTTTGATCGTGCTATCTCGGATCTCCAGAAGGCGTACACGATCGATCCTGACAACCGAGAAGTCCGGAAACTCCTGCGAGCGTTAATGGAGCAGCGTACCAAACAGCGAGCTCTTGATAAGGAGACATTTAGTGGCATGTTCAACAGGGGCCAAGTGTACGACGAATCGTTGACGAAGAAAGACGCTGAGCTTGATGAGGCTGCTCGCGAAGAGAAGTTTCAGCAGGAGGTACCAAACTTTGAGAAGTGTGTGATGTTGTTTCCTTCAATCTCATTCAAACTTGTTGGGGTAGGTGGAAGAAGCTGAAGCTCTCGCTAAGGGTTTTGAAGCAAAGGGCAAGGCAGAATACGCCAAAGAAATCAGAGACAAAATCGCGCAGGCTCAGGGAGTTCGCAATCGCCAACTCAAATGTGTCGACTTTTTCCATCCGACACCCGAAATGATCACGAACGCGAAAGAAAACGGGTATGACAGCATCAAACTCTCGGCACTAACAAATAACGTATCTCAACTGCGTGATATTGCCCAGAATTGATCTGACCGATCGGAATGTCCAACAAATGCTGCACGATCTTCAAGAGGAAGAGAGGAACAAAGCGTCTTCTTCAGGAAAACACAGCGAATCCACCCAATCCCCTCCCAGTGCAGTCACGTCGGTGGACTCGCTACTCAAATCAATGTCTAGCACTGAGATCGCTCAACTTCTTAGTCGGGAAGGTATCGACTATCACAAAATCTCGGATCGCGAGCAGTTTCTCGAGACAGCCAGGCAAGTTCTACTGTCCAAGCTCAACGACACGAAGGAGCCTACCAAGCCTTCGTATGCTCGCACAATTGTACTGCTCGCTGTAGCGTGGACTTTGCTGCGTCTGTACACGTCCGGTGGTCTCTCAGTACTTGGTCGAGTCGTCATGAACGCCATCACCGGCACTACCGCGAATAACGTGGATCAAGGAACTAAAGTCATGGACATTTTCGACGAGGACTGAGCCAGCTTTACTTGAAAATCCAGAGGCCTAATTAGACAACACGAAATTGTGGGTGCATTTTGATTAATCTCTTCTTTTTTGTCAGTCTAACATGCACATCGAGATGCCCATATCGATAGCAACGCACCTCAAAGTGCGGGACTCCTCCGGGTGAATGCCATCCCTCAATATATGGCTACTGGGTTGCTAAAATTCCGCCTCCATTATAGGCTGGCTGTTCACTGCTGTGGAGCTCACGGCAGATTGGCCCCGACTTGCAGGCGAGTTTGGCTCGTGGCTCGCTGCTTCACTAGTTCCGGATAGGCCTCGCGAATTGGCACTGGGGCTGGTCGTTGACGCTGATGCAGTGGTCTCGGTGGGGATCGACGGTCCATGCGAGATCACCAGCTTCTGCACATGGACGCGATCCTGTTCCTCGCTACTGGAGCTCGAGTTTGCGTTCGTCTTTTTGATTGGCGGTCGCTCACGAAAGATGGTTACCTCCACACGTTCAAATTGTTCAGTCATTGACGCTTCCAGCTTCTTTAAGCCTTCGTGGAACTGGCTGGGAGAGATAGGCATTGGGTTCAAGTGTCCGTTCTCAACGAACGATGACAACGGAGTACCTTCACACTCTGAAGGCATCGAGTTATCGTGCTCTGGAAGACGGTCAGACTCGTCTGAGTCCTCTTCATTGAGAAGAGGGCTGGTAGGTGGCGGAGGCGGTCGCAGTTCGGAAACCAAATTCGTCACTTCGACGAGAGAGTCGGGGTCTTCACAGAAGTAGGTAAAGTCCTTGAATGTGGGGTCCTGAACGGGAGGTGCTGCCTTCTCGCGGTTACTTCGGCTCGACACGAGCGACAAGAATCCCTTTGACTTGGCTGCAGACTTGTCCGTGGGGGACTGCACCTCGTTGTGTACGTCCAGATCTGTAAACTCTGTGTCCACATATTCCACATCGAGAGGGGACGAAAGCTTGGGCTTCCACGGTGGCGTAATTTGTTTCTTCAGCAGTAAATCCCAATCGATCCCACGGAAGTATGGGTGCTGCAGGATGTCGCTGATGTTGGTGCCAAGACGCTTGGTAGGGTCTTTCTGCAGAAATCCTCGAAGAATCGACTTGAGTTCGTCAGTAAGCGCCGGCTTAGAAGGGAAGACCAGAGGGTCGTTCTGGATTTTTTGGTACATCTTTTCAATGTTGTTGTCGTAGAATGGAGACTTGCCCACGCTCATCTCGTACAGCAGGATACCAAGACTCCACCAATCTGCCGCTTTGCCATACGATCGCTTGGCTTTGGGTAGAAGCAGCTCAGGTGCTGTGTACTGGGGTGACCCTGCCATCGTCTTGGCCCCCTTGTACTCGGACACGTGCAGCTTAGCGAGACCAAAGTCCACAAGCGCAACGTGACCCTCAGCGTCGATCATCACGTTTTCAGGCTTGATATCGCGATAGAGAATGTCGTGTTGGTGTAAGTGGTGAATACCCAGCACCAGTTCAGCTGTGTAAAAGTGCGCACGGTCCGAGGGTATCCGACAGCTTGAGCCCTTGCTCATGTGATGAAAAAGATCGCCACCGCCATAGTAATTCATACCCAGAAACAGCTTTGTTCGGCTCTGGAAGGCAATGCGCAGACCCGCAATGAACGGGTGGTGGATGTTTTGAGCCACACGCATCTCTGTAAACGAACTCTCGACGTCGTACTTGGTCATCTTGCCCTTCTCTAAGATCTTCAGTGCGTAGATCTGCCCATCACTTTTCTTCACTGCGTTCACCACAGTACCGAATCCACCCTTGCCGATCACATTGTACACGGTGAAGTCCTTCATGGAAATACTGAGCGATCGGTTCGATCGGATGGACGCATCCGACATCTCTGAGTACGGATTCTTGACGCCGAAAGATTTCCAGTTCCCAGTAGCGGTCTTCAGATCCACGTCCACACGGAAGCGCAAGATGCGGCCGTACGGACCGAAGCGCACGCGGTGCGACCACGACTGCGTGATGACAGCCCCCGAGTGTTTACTCTTGAGTGTCTCACTTCCCTTTACAATCAGGCTCTTTCCGTTGGCATCGAGCTCGCATTCTTGTACTTTAATGTCGATCAGATCCACGTTGCTCTGGAATGCACCCAGGAAGTGCAGAAAGCCTTCACGGCCGAAATAGTCGCCACTGAAGGGAGTACTCTTCGGGTAGGACGACGAAAAGACCAGGTCCTTGCTAAAGTACGACAGCAGCTCAGTCACCACTTCCACATCTCCTTCCAGCATGCGTCGATAGGCCTCATAAGCCTTGTCCGTGTGCATGTCCGGCAGCACTCCGTGACGATACGTGCCGTACACTGGTCGGTTGTTCTGCCGCATGCTCACCGTGTCCACTCCAGCCTGTACAGGTCATTTTAAAAGCATTTAGAAATGATCGCAGTTCATCATCAAATTAGTATGAAGTTTGCCCCACCTCTAGGAAGTAAACCCAGGCGAGTTGATCGAAATGGGTCGGCACGCTGCAGTAAAAGACTTTTCCCTCGGTTGTCTCGAAGGAAAAGTCGAATCCGTGGCCGTTCTTAGCCACTTTGTCCATCTTGACTGACGCCACGTTCACGCGGCCCTTTAAGTGGCTGCGATTGCGAGCATCCACCTTGTTTTCGTAGTCTGATAGAAGCAAAGAAAACACCGTCAGTCTCGAAATGTCTCCTCTCTTCTGGTCCCTGCCTACGTACACGACACGAGGTTCCCTTCTAGTGTGAAAAAGCGCATCTTCCAGTTTCTGACCAAGTGTCCTCTCTTGGTGACGTATCCCTCCCACTCCACAATGGGGAGATCGAGACTCTCGACCGCGTTGTCGCCTGAGCTCATCGATTCTGGCGGGGTATTGGCGCTCTTGCTGTTGTTACGAGAGCGTCTCATGCTGGAGAAGAGCGACTTGGAGTTGACGCTGCTGCTGCGGCTCTTAGGCTGCCCCAAAGACGAGAGTGACGTGGTACTAGCGGATGTGGGGAAGCCGCTCTGCTTGTTCGACTGGCGCCGCGCGTCCAAGGCGCTGCTGCTACCCACGCGCCGACGTGAGTCCTCCCTGAGGTTGGTGATGTCCGAGCCCGCAAGGGGGCGGCTCAACTCGGCGCCCATGGTGGTGAACTGAGGCGAGAAGAAGGCGGTCGTGCAGTCGCAGCAGAGCACGACGAAGTCCGGGAGTGCGGAAATGAGGGCGGATTGATATCGAATCAGGAGGGATGGAAAAGTAAGTCAGGTAGGAAATAATTTACCTGTGGTAATGGGTACTAGAATGTTTTGGAAGATTTGAAGAAATAAAGGAAGGTTTATTTGATAACACATAGCCTCTTAAATTTTAATTCATAGTGTTTGCTGAGATTTGAGGCGTAAGCGATAGAAACAGAGAGCGGGATGTTTTTTTTGCATAAGGTTTAGGACATTTGACGGCCCTAGTCCAGCCAACTTGGCGCCTTAGTAGTAAGCTTACGCTATGGCTGCCAAGCGTAAGCTTACTACTAAGGCAGTGAATGCCAGCGCACAAAGCTAGCCGCGAGACGGTCAACTAACCAACTTCATACATACAGGATACCAGAGCGCACCCACAACTTGTCACCAGCCATTTACAGTCTCAGTTGCAATGCAGCAGATCGAAAAGCTACAAAGCCACACCTTTCGTGCCAATTATAATAGGCTAGGAATAAGGGCTGCGTTGCACCGAAAAAAAGCTTCTGGTGCAGACTTCTATGACGACGATGGGAGAAGGTCCACCTTTTACTGATAATTCAGCTTGCTTACCAATCAAGTTGTTTCTCCATACATGTATGGGTAATCGTGATTCGTCGTGGCGGCGAAGATCATGGAAGCGTAGCGTCCTATCTGATAGTCGATAGGCCAGACAGTTTCACTGAAGACCTAGATCTTGACTACAGCGGCGTCAACGGTCGTTTGCTCTACGGCAGGGCTGAACGTAGTCTCACCGATAAATGCAAAAAAGTCAAGTTTTTCGTAGGCTTTGAAAAAAACAGTAAGGGAGTCCATGGCTAAAAATGGGGCGTTATTAGCTTGTTGATGGACTTGATGTCGAGAACGCTTTTAAAGAATGAAATGAAGGTTGCTCAAGGCCGTCGAGGCTGGATCGAGTTCATGAGACTACCTTTGAACATAATGGGCTCTCCCTACGCTCACTAATATTTTGTGCATAGAGCAGACGAGAGTGAATCGGTATGCCTTAAAACGCTACCGGTTCTTGTGTGGTATTTAGAAAAATTTCTTTACTATTATGTAGCTACACAAGTGACTTGCAGCACACTCCTCAAACCCACTAAGTGTTAAGCCCAAGATGAATTTGAAGATCTTTCTCACTCATAGACTAAAGATGGTTTATTTATGCTAAGTATCGACGTTGGTCACTACGCTATCCAATACGTACGAGAAATGCTTGTACCTCTCATATGCTAGTTGCTTCGGATCCAGTTTATCATCGTGGGCAAGTGGAATGCTTGCATCGGGAGGTGTGCTTCGCACCAGTGACAAATACTGCTCCAACCATTGCACGACCAATACACCACAGCTGTGTCCATCACATTGGCGCCATCCAGTAAATGTTTTAGCTTGCATCTCCATGTGAGAGCTCATAAATTTCATGAAAACGCCACTTATAACCTCTTGCACTGCATCCAAAATCGATTTTTTGTGGAGCGGATCATACTTCCACACAATTTTGCGCTCCATGTCAAAAACGATGCCGCACCAGTGAGGAAATTCAATGTCAACGTACGTTGGACAGCAAACGATGCGATTTGAGCGCATCTCCGTGAAAATATGATCCCTTGTGTCGATGTATTGATTCTCGCTCTACATCTGACAGCTGCAAATATAGTGGGTCAACAACCGTAACATATTTCGGATTTTGCCAGGTTTGTGGCTCTGCCTCTTTGACAACGCGTAACGAAGCCAGAAATACACACGAATCACTCAGCCATTGGTCACCTCCATATCCTGCTAAATCCAAGAACGAAATATTGTGGCCATTTGCACTAAAAACACTGTCGACGTTCATGAAAGGTATCATGTGCAGGATGCGTTGACGCTCCACTTCTTTGTGGTCGTCATCAATAACAATTTTCTCCACAAACTTAACCAGCTTCCGGGCCTTGGTCAGCTTCTTTGATACTTCGTGCCACGTTCGCATTCGCTCTATATCCACCAGACTAAACGTCCAAACGCCAAGAATCGAAATCACTATATCACTTGATGCCAGTTTTGTGTCATTGATTAGCTCTTCGCGGATCTTCACGTTTGTAGCCGAGTCTATGCTTTTCATCACCAAAGGTTCTATCAAGATATTGGTTAATGAGTTTGCATGTTGGTAAGTTTTGGTGAAGATGACACCAATATCACCAAAATATTGAAAATAACACATTTACATACCTGGAAGCACGAATCGGATATTGCTCTCTACAGAACGGGAGTGATTACCCTTGATCACTAATGCTTTGGGACGTTTGAAAACCGCACCATCGAACATGCGGCGGATACCGTCGAGAGCATCTCCAACAACCGCTATTGAAAGCTGTTGTGTCTTCACAACCTCGTCCAAAACTTCCAACGTAACATCACCCACAGTGGCGACCGTGTCCACATACGCCAGTGTATCCGTAATCTCCTTGCTCCTCTTTGCCTTCTTAAAGCTTTCCTTTTGCTTTGGTCTTCCAGATGGACGACTAGCTGTATTAAGCTTTACTATGCTTTTGGCATCATCATCCAATATTTTGTGGGGAGGCTTTTCTTCAGTTGTCTCGTCCAATTCAAGTTTTCGCTTCGCTGAAAGTGAAGACAGCTTCTTCGACGCCCGTTTTGTCTCTCGGATGTTTTGTTCTTCTTCGTCCAGCGGAACTTGAAGAGGTTTTTCGAGGCCCACCTTAACATCCTGTCCAGAAGTCGAGATACATGGTGGATTGGTACTGTTCTCACCCAGTTCGTCCAAATTTGTGGTAAAAACACCAATATTGGTGGTAATACCACCAATATTGGCACTATCGTCATCGGCTTCTCCTGCATCACCTGAGCTGAGCGTGCCTGAACCGTTCCTTTCTGCATCCAACATTGGCGGACCTTTGTCATCACGAACCATGTTATCTAAGGCCTTTAAATAGCGGTACCAACTCGTAAATCCTCGCTTCCCTTTATCAGTGACACCCTCGGCAATTCGTTGGCAAACGGAAAATATTGCTCGGTATTTCTGGTTGTGCGATTGAACTCGATTTGAGCCGTCGAAGGCAACATCACCCACAGACAAGCTCACAGCGTCTCCTTCTTCACATACATGATCTTCACAATCACTGGAGACCTCAGCTATCGACCATCGCTCTGGGATTGTTTCAAAGGGAATTGCGGATCGGAAAGAATCATTTTCGCGCCTTAAAAATATAATATGCCGGCACGGGAGAAGAAGCGTTTGGTTGAACACGCAGCTACAATTGTTAGTCTCCAAATTAACCTGAAACAACATAATAACGTTAGTGGAATAAGACATTAACATCGAACGAGCCACAGAACTTACCGCATATTGACTTGACGATATCTTGCTGGTCAAAGTGAACATAAAACTCGAAGTCTCGCAGGGTTCAACAGTGTAATCCGCCCCCTTGCTAGCTGTATATTGACTTTCAATCTGATCGCATGCATGATGTGTTGCTATCTTTGCCAAGACTTGAAGTTCTTCGTCGTACTTGTGATTGTGACGGACGCCAGCCCGTTTCGACTTGCTGCGATATTTATCCTCGGCAATCTGCTGTAGAAAAAGCAAATGGTCGATGCACTCATCCATGGGCATGTGGCGATGAAGAATACCTTTTGCAGCCCCCCAACTTGCTTCCAATCGGTTGTTTGTGCTGTTGTCCAAGTGAGGGATGCATCCGCGCAGGAACGTACACCACAATGGCTTACAGCTTAACCAATTGGCTTCCAGATACTCCAAAAATTGTTGCTTACTCTTACAAAGAGTTGAAGGGCTCGCATATAGCGATCGAATTCTCGTTCATCACCAGTCCGCACCATCATCGTAATCAAGTTCTTGGCATGTATCTTCTCAAATGCCGTAAACGCGTAGAATTTTTTGCTGATTTCGCGTTTGAGATAGTCAATGACGTGGAAATGACAAAGAATCACTGTAGCCTCAGGTAGTTCTTCTGCTAGTACGCCAAGTTCAGTGAAATCCTTATCAATAATCACCACCTTGATATTGGCCCACGCTGGATTGTTCTGTTTAAATGCCTTGAGCGCACTCTTCATGTTAGGCTTTGTCTTTCCGTCAATCAAGGCATGCTGAACAAACGCCCCGCTGCCAAATTTATCTGTCACCATGAAACTAAACAACCGATACCTACATCAAATTCATTGTTAGTAATTGGTGAATATGAAACCAATTCCTACCTAATTGGTGACATCACCTAACGTGTTGGTAATTATGTCACCAATTTATTAACTGGTGCTCACATCGTACCTGTTAATTTTTGTGCCGTGTGTGGCATCTATACAAAGTGCTTCTGGGAATTTGCGAGCCATCCTGTTCATATGTGCTGTCTGGAAGGTTATACAGCTCGTCAATTCGGAACCTGGATCGCGATAGATATTGACAGCCGTTCCTGGACCTTCACTGAAATCTTGCAGCAACTGTGAAACACGGACACTGTCCTCCGGCGAGGTGTATGTTTCGCGTCGCATCTGAGCAATCATGTTTTCGACGTCCTTTGGCTGGATCGGTTTTCCGGATGCTTATTTTAAATATCGCAGAATCTTTTTGCGGTTGGACCCACCTATAAGACATCATGTTAGCAAATGACCAGCTATATGTTGTACTACTGTTGATCTTACCTTGCCACATTGTTTTAACAACAATCTTGGTGTCAGGCGAGTCCACCTTGCGAGTCTCAGCGTACGTGAAATACTCTTCAGGACCAACGTTATGGTTGTGGACAGACGTGCGCTTTGAAGCACATACCGTATACACTCCGCCTTCGTCTTGTTTCAGGAGCGCGTTCAGTCTCGCCTTACACCCAATCCCTCGAACAGTGTGGTTTGTTCTGATGCCTTTTCCACGGGGGTTAAACTGCCAACCGTGAGTGCAGATAAAGGTCTTCGAGTAGAACACCAATTTCTCGTCGTACAGGACAGGCTGTGTACCTGTCAAAGCACAACGTTTACTTCGCTCACGATTCCGATCACGTACAGAGTTACTCGTTCGCAACTTGTAAATCTAATGAGTGTCCTTCTGGTACCTACGCGTGAATACATTTATTAGATACATCACATCAAACGCACCCGCCAAATGTCATTGTACCGTTCAAAAGCCGCCTCAAGGTCAGGCCACGATGCAAATACACCGCTAAATGGAGGGAAAGTAAGTTGAATTGTTTTCCCCATTGTATGCTCCGTTTTATCTCGGCTTTCATCGCCTGAAGCTCTGGGAAGAGTGCCTCCATCTTGGAGATTAGCCTTTCCACTGGTGGGGCTCGATACTCGGCTTGCTGACATGACACTACGACGAGCGGCGCCGATAGGAAGTACCGGGGAAGAACTGGGAAGAGCTGGGGGGAGCGGGAGGCGGGAGCGAAAGACGGTCTAATGAACGGCGATAGAGACTCGCAAATTTTGAAAAACAAAATTAGAAATTTTTGATACCGGTATTCACCGGTACTCCAAATGTTTGTTTTATGTCAAAAAATATTGGTGAGCCTAGACACTTCCAAATTCAAATGGAATCTCTCACCAGCCGAAGAACAAGCTACTTGGTGAAGGTGTAAGTCGAGATGAGCTCATCGACGGTTCTCCAGCCAAAAAGCTCAAGTCCACAACGTGCATCCCTCCTTACGCTGGAGCTCTCGTTAGCTGTATACACTGCTGCCTGGCTGTTCATCGTACTGTTTCATGTGGCTTGCGGCGTCTACCTCGTCTGCGCCGCGATGACCTATTGGTATCTCACAAAAGGAGTCATGCCGTTCTACTTCACAATTTGGTCGCTCACGGGTATCCAGAACTATCGTTTTTACGGCACTGTGTTCGGCATTGTCGGGGGGATGCACGCACTTCGAGTGCTGAATATCGTCATCATGTCGATCCGGGCTCGACGTCTTACGCTTCGGTCAGAAGGGTCAAGTATGATCCAGACTCTAGTCTCAAGAAGGCTGATCCCAAGTCGCTTCGTAACAAGGAACTCGGATCAACCCACTGCACGACTCGGGGGCCCAGTTGCTCTTATCTGGAGCAACGTGTTCTCCCGTCAAGGAGTTTTCGGCGTCGAGAGCGAGCACTTCTCAACAGTTTTTACAGTACGTGAAGTGCTGGAAGCAAGCTCGCAAACTTATCAAGCCTACCGGGCCAGCAATCTGTTACCACGTGCAGAGATGAATGCTCTAATCGTGGGAATATTGGTTACGAATTGCTGGACAACAGCAGGGATCCAACTCTTCCTTCGCAAATCTCCAGCTCTCGAACGCGTAATCACACTAACGTACGATGCCTTGCTCAGTTTTGGCATGATAATAATGGTCCCCTTGATTATCTTCATCCCTTACATCGAAGGGTTCAACTTTGAGTACAGCATCTTCAAAAACACCGAATTTGTGTATGACCCTGTCCCTCTCGCCACTATGGTCCTCGAGAATCGTTTGATCTTTGCCTCGAGTCTTTTCGATTTCGCCACCAAGCTCATCCCGCAGCTAAGTATTATCCTTTCTCTGACCACCGCTAGTGAGTTACTAGGCCGTAGTGACGTAAAAGTGATTCCCGGTGGTCACGGCATGCTATCGGTAGCCGTCAAGCCCAAGACAGGCAGCACTGATGTCGCTAAACCAGTTGATGTGGATAAAGCGGCTGACCAGTCTCAAAACTCAGGTCAATTTGGCAGCCTTCGTGCTCTTCAGACGGGGAAACACGTGATTGCAATTGTCTTGTTCGTCCTCTGGGGCGCCATCATTCTTCTTCTACATGGGTTGGCTGCTCAAAGAGCAGCAAGTTACGATGTCATCGGTTGTCGAGCTGTTACTCGACCCTGGTTTTCGAATGGCAAAGAGCCCTGTTCAAGTATAGTGTACGATTGCCACGCTCGAAACACCACGTCACCAGACGACTCATCGTTTGACAAACTGGACCACGTTGCACTGGCAACTCTATCAATTACGCACTGCCCAGAGCTGAAAATGCCTCCTGATCTCCAGCGGCTCGAGAATCTCGTGATTCTACACGTCTACAACTCAACTATTTCGAATTGGAGTGCTGAAAGCTCCGTCTCCGCCACGGCACACTCGCGTCTGCTGTCGGTTTTTGTGGGGAAAACGAACGTGACAGAGTTCCCCGAAGGATTGCTGCAACCTTTGCCAGATTCACTGCTGAGTGTGCAGTTCTCGGGGAGCAACCTTACCAAGTTGCCCGACGATCTGTATATGAGATGGCATGCGATGGCTATGATTGCCTTCGAGGACGGTGTTCTCACTGATATTCCATATCAAATGTTCTTCTTGCCAGTTTACACATTGTCCTTGATGGGCAACCACATCGAGACGCTACCCACATTAGCGATGATGCCTCCCGGTATGATCATACCCGAGCTCAATTTGAAAAATAATCCACTCCGAGAACTACCAGCAACACTAATGGCACCTGATCCTATGATCATGTCGATGAACGTGCAAAACACGTCGATTACTACCATGCCACCATGGGTCAAGACCAACACGAAAGTTGTCTGGGCGCTCGATACTCCATTCTGCGCGGCACCAATGGCCGACCCAACGCTCGCATACCAAGTGATGTGCTTTGAGCGACCGATGGGCCAGGAAGCACTCTTTTACATGTACATGTTCGATGCCCTTTATGAGTATGACAAGAGCTCATAGTTCTACAGACATCTTTATCGTAAATAGGAATCCGTAGAAATAATAATGCTTGTGTCCATCTTAAATATCGTTCCTGGGGTCGAGCTAGTTCTTCCATGATCGCCCCCGACTTGATACTACTACAGTAGTATATGCTACGTAAGACTTAAGAAGGGCTGAGTACCGCGACGCCTAAGAGCTTATTTATCACTAATCTTCCGGTATCTAAAAAAATAAAATCAAAAACCGTATTAAAAATTTCAGGAGTTGAGCGCTTTTCCTTCAAATGTCTTGCGTGAGCGCCAGCATATATTATTTATGAGTAGAAATCCGCTCGAGCATGTCCTAGTCATCAAAGTATCCCCATGCTTAAACGGCCTATCACACCAATCAGAGTGAAAAGTTTTGCGGATCCTACTTAGTCAGCAAGCGCAGCTTCAATTTGAAACGCGTTCAACACCGCAGCAATAATAAATTGGCAAGAATGCAAGATGCATTTCGACAGGATGGTCTCTTGTAGACGAAGATGAATCAGAACCTCATCAGATTTCGCCAGCAGTGCGCAATTCCGAGATTGTCCGACGAGGCGAAAGTTCAAGATGTCAACGCGAGCAATTTCCAGGCTGTTTCAGTGCTTTTGAGTGGGTAGAGGTCAATCTGTGTCAAGCTCAGATCGGCCAAAGTGAGACGAAAGCGAACGAGTGCACCATAATATGTCGAGAGGTCTGCGTATCGCGACAGCAGCTCTGTCATTTTCCAATTGGCCGCGCCAGAACGAGGAGCCAAGCTTAAGAGCTGCACAAAATGACAAGACCTCTGGTCCTCATGGCAACTTTTGCCTTGCTGACTGTGGTCATGGCAGCCATCGAGACGCCAACCGAGCAGCACGTTCAGCGTCGCGTCGAGGAAATGATGTCGACAATGGTAAGTACTGCACTTCTTGGTCGAAGGCAGAATTGTGCATCCGATGCTGACGTTCGTTGCGTCTCTTATGCAGGACTTGGACGCCATGCTTGGTCAGATGGCGCAGCTCGATGTGAGCACGATTCTCTATCCGAACCGCACGTTGAACCGAGCTGTTGTTCACGAGCACGCAAAGCTCAACGTCGGCTCTTACCTGAATACCCCTGGTGCGGAACTGAACGACTCGAATGCGAACTCCACGCACAACTTTTCTCCTCGAGAGTGGCGCAATTTGATCACGGAGATCCAAAACATTTACGCAAGCCACGGTAGCCATCCTGTCATCTACGGACTCGACTCGGTGCACGGAGCCAACTACGTTCGTGGAGCTGTACTGTTCGGCCAGCAGATCAATGCCGCTGCAACCTTCAACCCGGATCTTGTCTACAACATGGGGCGGATCACTGCTCGCGACACTGGAGCTGCTGGAATCCCCTGGTTGTTTTCTCCGATCCTCGAGGTCTCGCAGAATCCTCTCTGGGCCAGAACTTTCGAGACTTTTGGTGAAGACCCGCACCTGGTTTCAGTCATGGCCGACGCTATCATCCGCGGTATCCAAAGCAACGGCACTACAGCGGCGTGTATGAAGCACATCATCGGGTACTCGAAGACTCCTTCTGGTCACGATCGAGTCGGTGTCACCATCTCAGACTTTGAGCTGCTCAACCGCTTCGCTCCGTCGTTCATAGCCGCCATTAAAGCTGGAGCAATGACGGCGATGGAGAGCTACATCTCTATCAACGGTGTTCCAGTCGTGGCCAACATGAAAATCTTGCAGGATCTAGTACGTCACGACATGGGCTTCGATGGTCTCATCGTCACGGACTACGCCGAGATCCACAACCTCCACGTGTGGCACCGAGTGGCCAAGACGGATCAAGATGCAGTTCGAATGGCGCTGACGAACGCTCCACTAGACATGAGTATGGTGCCCTACAACACTTCCTTCATCGACATGGCTCGACACACCGTTCAACAGAACCGAGCGCTGCTAGATCGAATCAAGGACTCTACCCGTCGTGTCCTTACAACTAAGATGAAGCTCGGTTTGTACGAGAACGCTCTCCCCGGGACTGAAGCCGATATTGCTCTTGTCGGTCAAAACGAGAGTCGCCAAGCAGCATTGGAGCTCGCTCGCGAGTCGATCACTCTTCTCAAAAACGAAGACGACGTTCTACCATTAAGTCCCGAGAGCGACGTGTTTCTCACGGGCCACGCAGCAGACAACGTAGGTTTGTTGTGCGGAGGATGGTCTCTTCGCTGGCAAGGCGTGTCTGGTAACAGGCACTTCCCGAACGGAATTTCTCTCCGTCAGGGCATCGCCAACGTGAGTCCTGGCTCGGTTCACTACGCCAACACCCTCCACCCCAACGGGTCATTCTCTTCGGATGAACTTAAGATGATCAAGACCCGAGCAAGAAAATCAAGCTACACCATCATCGCTATCGGCGAAAGAGAGTACGCGGAGAAACCTGGAGATCTGGATGACTTGAATTTGCCATGGGGTCAAGTCGAGTACGTTCGTGCAATTGCTGCTACGGGTACAAAGGTGATCCTGGTGCTGGTTCAAGGTCGTCCTCGCTTGCTGCAGGGCCTGGCCGAGCTCGCTCATGCTGTCGTTTATGCCATGCTACCGGGTGAATTGGGAGGGCGAGCACTGGCTGAAATTCTCTTTGGACGTGTGAATCCAAGTGGCCGCCTTCCCATCACGTACCCAAAAACCCCGGCCACAATCGGGATTCCCTACAACCATCCTGCAGACACGCGTTGCCGTGATGAGCGCCCGTGCAAGATGGAATGGGAATTCGGACACGGGCTGAGCTACTCGACGTTCAAGTACGGAGCCGTGTCACTCAGCAAGACCACGATCGCAAACACTGACAATGCCTCGATTGATGTGCGTGTGCCTGTCACGAATGCTGGATCCATGGCTGGCAAGGAGACGGTGATGCTGTTTCTCATTCAACCGTACCGCGAAATCTCAGTCCCGGAAGCCAAGCAGTTGAAGAAGTTCACCAAGATTCATCTGCAGCCAGGAGAGACTCAAGAGGTCTCGTTCACGCTCACTAGTGAAGACTGGGGTGTCTTCGATCCTCAGATCGGCTTTGGTTTCCGCCGTATTGTTGAAACAGGCGAGTATTATGTTGCAGTAAAGCCCGAGACGGACTGCCACGTCTACGACGAAGAAGCTGCGTCCACCGCCCTATGCGCACAGTTCACGATCCAAGACAAGTAGCAGCCGCAAGTTGGGTTTGATGCTGATTCAAAAACAATCTCGAATACAACCACTAACGTCGTTGATCTGCTTTATCACGTCCTGTATTAATTCTTTTCAGTGTGTTCCTCTTCCGGAGGCTCTTTTGGTTCTGTAGGAGCTGGCTGTGCGAGCTCAAGGAAGTCCAGCAGCAATGGTTGAGCACGACTGTTAGCACACCGCTTGCATACCTCATTCAGATATCCATGAAGACCAATCGCTTTCTGCTTCAAATAGTTGGGTTCGAACTTGTTCCACATTCTAGTCCCAGGTAGCGCTGGGAGCTGCTCAGGTTGGAACAGCTTCCGCAGCTCGCGATGCAGCTTGGCAAACTCTGAATATCGCCGTTGAACGATACTGTGGCCTGCCGTTGAGGACGCCACTTGGATGACAAACGCGACATACTCTTGGTCGTTCTCATCGAGTTTAATCTGGTGTCCTTCGATCTTCGTCTGTAGCCATTCACCTCCCTTATTCTTCTTCTGGGCCCCACTAAAGTGCCCCCGCGAACTTTCAGTCATGATCAGCACTGAGGACGGACTGTTCTCCAATAAATCCTTGTGGCGGAAGATCTCGACCGCAGGGATTCTCTCAAATACTTCCACCCAGCGGTTAAACGATTCTTGGTTCTGCACGCGCATCTCACACGCTGCTCCACGACGAGCTACCACTCGGATAAGATACTCGCGTTCGTAGCAGAACGCCTTCGTCGTCCGAAGTAAAAATTGCCCAACAAAGTCCAATTTGGGCGAGTTCTCGTAGCACGACAAGTGGTCTTCTTGAAGAACAAGCCACCGGTCATTCCACGAATCGTACCACCCGTTTGCGGTCTTCTCCTTTAGGAAGCCAGCCTTGATGGCATTGAAATAGTCCATGCTCTTACCAGTCGGGAGATCGACGAGGTTGGCTGTGTCTCTGGGGGCCTTGTCAGCAGGTAACTCGTCGGCGAGCGCACTGGTGGCCTTCACGACTGTTTCGTTGATAGCATCCATCCATGTGTTGCGCACTGGTGTCGACGGGGCCTTAAAAATGTGCACTCCGGGCTGAGAGGCGTTATTTGATGTTGGTGGGGCGCCTGGTTCGGGAGCAGCAGCCTCACTAGGAATGATCTTCATCATGAACGAGTCTTCGCCGTACACAGCTTTCGTCGTCGCCGTCAGTTGGATTCGCCACTTCCGACGACAGGCGACTTCACTGAGTCGAGACAAGAAGTAGAGACGATCTTTGTCAATCAAAACAATCTGCTCGCGCGAAAGACCAGTGCATCGGTCGCGAACGAGAGCGGTCGCCGACAGCAACACCTTGGTGTGAGGTGTAAGCTCCACAATGCTCCTCATGAGTTTAGGAAGAGGGACGCGGGCACTCATGTATCGATGCAAAGTATCAACCACCGGCTGACACAGCTGCATGATGGTGAAGAGGACGACGTCGTCGCTCATCCAGTACGATGAATGGGAGGCAGCAGCAAAAGCTACTTCCATCATGCCTTGCTCGCGCTTCCGACGCCGCAGCGCGTAGTCATGACGATAGGGGAATCCGTGCACCGGGCCATTCAATCCTTCCCATTGCTCCTGCAGCTGACCAAACGTGTGGTCCTTGACGGCACTAAACTGCGCACATTAACAAGAGAAGTAGGAAAATCAGGTTCTCAATTGGCGAGAAACCGTTGACAAAATGATACCTTGTACCTGCATCAATTGTACGGGATCCTTGTCATGCATTTCTTGCTTAATTAACGGCTCGATACGGTATGCGATGGGGTCGATCGGGTGGTAAACATTGAAGTATCGACGACAGTGCGGCATTTTGATTCCTGGGGTAAACTCTCCGTCCTCGATGTTGAGATCTCCTCTTGCCAAGATCATTATTCCCACCGGAGAACTATCGCAGTACAGTACAGTTAGTTGACGCATATATACCGATGTACTCGCAAACAACGTACCCGACTCCGAAGAAGTTGTCAATCTCGAAGTCAAGGCCAGAGAATCGCACACCGTTGATGGCTACCTCACCCGGCTTGTGCGTTAGGAGGTCGTAAGAAATCATAGAGCCCAGAGAGTGGGCGAAGATAGAAACCTTTCCATCCCACCCTAACGTAAAGACAATGACGGCATGTAAGCAGTCACTTCCATGCATCCATTTGAAGACTGCCCTGTAGCTCACCTGGATGCTCGTCCATGAAGACGCGATATTTCTCGTTGAGTTGTTGAGTGACTGAATCTACAACCAGTTGTCCATAACGTGGCGACAGATAGTACAGCACGTCCATAAAGGTTTCCTTGTTGAACTCGCGAATACTAAGCAGTCATTCCAACAAAGTTAGTCGAGTTAGCGAAAGAACAAAAGTTGGTGGCGTACGCTGAGGCTCCTTCTGGAGAGATCAAATCAAAAACGTTATCTAGGCCCGTTGGATCGTGGAGGTCTTCGTGCCACTCGATCGACTGCATTTCCAGTGCCAGGGGGATATCTTGGAATGTTGTTTCCAGCATCGAGCGGAAAATGTCTCTGAAGGCGTGGTTGCCGCCTTCGACGCCCGTCTCTCCGTTCCACGACTTGAACTCTCCATCACGGAAGTCAATGTGTTGTCCAATGCCGTGAATGACGAAAACGAGGTGGTTGAACGTCCGCAGTCGAATCTGAAGCAATACAAGTAAGCTCACTATACTTTCAATGGGTTGCAACAACATCAAACTCAACTATTACCGTTGACGGATACTCTTCGTCTTCTTCATCGCTGCTGCCAGCTTCGTCGATACCTGAATCATACAAAAAGCAAACACATCGTATCAGTGATATAACCCCCCCAATTGTCATATACAGCGCGCACTTGAGGACGTTGACGACCTAGACGTCACTACAGTACTGTAGCTCTTGTTCTTGAACGTGGCGATGCTCGGTCTAGACAGTTCGTTCTGCATGTGTTCATAATGTGCCTTCAATAACGGTACTCTTAGAGCTGGTTGAGGCAGTAGCCGTGCAAAGTCCACAACGATCGAGTCCAGCACTGGAGCTGGGATCTGCTGCGCCAAGTAGGCGTAGAAGCTCTCAGCCGACTCATGGCCCATACCATACTCGAGAGCGTTGGCCTTGAATCTCTCAAACTCTTCGTCGTCCCTCAGCGCATTCTGTACTCGCTCCGTCACGTCGTTGTTGAGCGCCACAGCGGCTTTGCGGCCCTTGACAGGCTCCACGTCGTGGAACCCGACGTCGATTTCTTCGTCCACGTCGTCGGACGAGCTGCACTCGATGGATGAGCTGCTCTGCGTTCTTTCTAGCTCAAAAGCTTCCGGGTCTACAGCCGCGCTCTCCTGAATCTTCTGTTTGAACTGACCCACGACGTCATTTAGGATGACGCTGCAGTTCTGCAGTGTGCAGAGATTTTGCCAAACGCTTTCGCGGGGAAGAGCAGAGACTTGTTCGCCTTCGTATTCGACCTCATGCAGCTCGTCATCCTTTAGCAGCAGCTCCAAAAGCTTCGTCAGCTCGCTGATGTGCTGCTTGTACTGGTGCATGTAAATTTTGGGAAAGAAGCTGTGCTCTGGAAGCTCCTCGGCCGACGAGAAGGCCACGGCGCTCATGGCTGAGCCTCAGAGTGATGGTGCCAAGTGGCTTTTTGAAGTGGGAGCGGATGTCGCTTCGATACCTCCAAACTCGATACCTTCTTAAAGCGATCTTTCAACAATTAGGTTATCACTTCAACAAATTAGCTTTTTTTCTAGCGCGAACATTCGACTAAGGAATAGAAGTATCAATAAACTTGAGCGACAGCGGCATATCACAAATGTGTACACTGTAGCGCTTATCCGCCACGACAGCGACCACAAGTTCGTGCCAGAATCTTTTTCAAACAACGGCAGAAAGATCTTAGCTGTTGTAAAAACTGTTGTTTGTATAAGCTTTTGAAGCCGCCGCTGTTTGGTTGCCTACTTCTTGCTGTCTATCCACATCATGTAGTCGTCGATGAGCACGGGCCAGGCCTCGTTCTCGTCGTAGTTGTCGTAGGACTCGCGCACTTTTGCGAAGAAGTCGAAGAGTAGGTCCCACGTGTCGCGAGTCACGCCCTTGACGGGCTTCTTCTCGGCCAGGAACGCCAGCCAGCTCGCTGTGAGCTTTTCGAAGCGCGTAGGCAAAAGCAGATCCCACATAGCCACGGCGATGTCTATGCTGAGGCTCTTCTGGCCAGGCTCTTTGGAGAAACCGAAGCAGAAGCAGTAGAACTTCTTGAACTCGCTCTCGCTCGCGATGGATTCGCGCAGCTGCGGAATCTTCGCCTTCAGCTTGGCGGCCGAGTCGCAGTCCATCTCTTGCATGCCCTTCTGCCACTCCTTACGCGTAAACGCGCACATGTAGGCTGCTTGCATTTTCCAAGCGATCACCAACACCACCAGGTCCTGAGGGTCTATGCCGATGTCTTCGCAAAACTTAAGAATGCCTTCCTCATTGATCGTGTCTTCGTCGTCATCGGGGTCTGCAATTTTGAATCGGAACAAGTGAGATCTTTGGCAGTACTGCAGCAACAGAAACGCCAGTCCCACCTATATAGCTATCAAACCACGCGTTCACCGCATCCATGGAGACCGTCGTCTTTCTCCTATTTTAATCAGTTGGAGCTTACGTTAGCGACATCATTTATTAATCAGCATCGCAATGATGTGTACTCACACTGGTGCGTTACTTTCGCCGCCGTTGGCGTAGAACTCGTCAACAGCACGCATTAGGTCCCAGCTGAACTTTTCTAGGTACGATTTGGCCATCGAGTCACTACGAAAGAAGCCGTCAGCATCCAGCTCTCCCTTCAGCAGTTATGCATAGCGGACCAATTGTCAACGCATGCACTACATCTACATACGTGGCATTGGTCGTGTTCTTGAACGCCTGTAGCTTTTTCTTTTTGTCGTTCAGGAACTTGCTCGACTGTGTCACAAAATCGACAAACGAAGCAGTAGAAATGACGACGAATGTTAACTACGTCGTCTGCTGATAAGGAGGATTGGGGGGTTCTTGGCCGCCCTGCTCAGTGGAGCTTCTCACCATTTTACGTGGCGCTCTCTTCTTTGTTTTTCAATCCGTCGCAGATGTTGTGTGTACCAGCTCGACCAGCCAATCAAACGCCAGTTAGGTAATCAATGAAAAAACTTAGTTATATCTTCCCTTTTCAGCTAAAACAAAACAAGAAAGTGTGGAGAGAGAGAGGTTAAAACAATTAGAAACGAGAAGGTAGTTTTTAAAATCAAAGAGGAACATCTACAGCAAATACAATCCGTTGTCTCGAATACGATGCCAATGCATTACTTGCGTTATTAAGGAAGGTAAAACCAACTGAAAGAAAAACTGCTTGGAGAGAAGCTCCAGAAAAAAGAAAAGCTAAAAAAATCAAACCAAATCAAACGAGCCCGCAGGCTCAAGAAGAAAATCAGACCCACCGTGTCGTGCAAATGAACCGGCCGCCGTTGCGCACACGTGACGTCGCGACGTTGCTGCGTCCAGTGTACCGAGGCCCCCGTTTCCAGTTGCGGCGCGTCCGCTTCTCGTGATAGCGGTGCAGCGCGCGCTTCTTCTCCGGGGTTTTAGAACTCTTGCAGATCCAGCACGTCTTGGGGTCGTGGTGGTACTTTGCGACCTTGGCCTTCTCACTCTTGGGCGACATCGATTGCGAAGGGCGGCTGACACCAGGGGCGCCTATAGCCTTCACAGTCGCACCGTTCGGCGAGAATGTCATATCTATCCGCGGCATCTGAACGCGCGGGATTCGCGAGTCCAAGTTCTTGAACACTGATGTGCGGATGCAGGATCGCGGGTCCAGCGGGGCCATGTTGGCCCAGACGGGGGCCGACGGGATGATCTTAACGTCGGCGCTGACCTCATTATCGCTGTCAGCGTTTTCCATCTCCTCATCCTCGTCGTCCTCCGGTACCGTCACCGTCTTCTCCTGCTCCTCCACCAGCGCATCGAACGCGGCCGAGAGATCGTTCACGTTCACCACGTCGTCCTCTAGACCGTCAATCCAGGCTGCACTCGCGTCTTCACTAACAGAAGTCTCCTCAAGGTCGTCGCAGGGGAGCGTAATATCGGCTCCATCTACGAGGCCCTCAAAGATCGCCGCTAGGTCGTCCACATCGTGAGCCAGCTTGCCATCGTCGACCTTCCCCACGAGCTCCACCGTCTTGACGGCGCCAGCGCTCAACAAACTTGGTTTGTCCAACGTCGACGTCCAGTCATTCCAGTTTACAGGGTCGGCCATGCGAAGCCACGCCGTCGATGCTTCCGAATCGTGTAGCATGGGTGCCAGTCTTCTTGTCTTCTTGTTGTTACTACTTGGTATCTTGTTTTTCACTTCTTCTTCGTTGCTTCTTCTTCTCTTGTCTTCAATTCTTCAGTCCGGGGAACCATCCTTCTAACTCCGTGCTACGTCGCCATCATTTCTAACGTTCCGTTTGTTTTTTCAAACGTGTTGCTATCATCTCTAGTCCATATTCATGTTGAGTACGGACGGAGAGCTGAAACCGATCTTCAAGACATCATCTTGACCACCACGTGAAAAACACACCAACTTAGAAAGACATAGTCTCCCTGTTCGTTTGCTTTTCTTAAGCTGCTTCCTTGGTAAAGGGCGGGGGGAGGGGGCCGAATGCGGCTTTTTGGGTAATGAGCCTCGTCAAAACGAACTGTGCAGCTCGCACGTGAGACGTAAGAAATACCTGCTTAGCTACGCTACACATTAAAGAGGTGGCAGATCTCTTTCTTCCAGTTAAAATGATCCGCAGAAAGATTGGAGCTTGGACTGGGAAATCCACGTGATGGCCCAACTGAGTGTAGGTCACCAGGAGGCACAGTTTTTGACCACCGTGTGACAGAAAACGTGTGCATGTGGGGCGGACGTGAACACTATACATACACACCTTACGGAAACCGAGAGCTGTCATTCCCGCTGCATTTTTTGCGTGCTCTGCAAGGACATCGAGGCCTTAGATGGCACTTCTCCGTTTGCAGACATTTAGAAACCGGTGGACGTTCCCTTTAGCGTGTACATGTATTAATTTGGTGTCGTTTCCTCCTCCATTCGTTCTCTTGCCGCCGCGTCTCTGTGCCATTATTACAAACTTCGCGCTCATCAACAAGTGTAGATTGGACGCGGTACGAATAAAGAGGTACTGGTCCATGTACTGTATTCCGCCAATATATGTACTGCATACAAGTATGTAGGCATCAAGCATTTGCAGGACAAAACTCCCAGTGGAAGCGCGGCAGCATGAGCTTACAGCGGTATTAATAGCAAAGAGTCTGTAATTCTGACTAGCTACGGTTTTTGGCAAATATAAGTCGAATAAAACTGTAATTAGAAATGCTGGGCACATCTTTCAAGATTCCCGCGCTCCACTGCCCTTACGAAGACCGTATCTTCTTCTGCTTCACAACAGTGCCCATTTCGCCATCTCTTCCGCCCACCAAAAAAGCGCGGGAGTTGTAAAAAGTCAATTTGACCTTTTTCAATTGCTTTGAATAATGGACCGATATCAGCGCATCGAGAAGGGTGGCTCCATCGGTGAGGGCACGTATGGTGTAGTGTACAAGTCACTGGACCTAATGACCAAGCAAGTTGTGGCGCTCAAGCGCATTCGCCTTGAAACTGAGGACGACGGTATTCCCAGCACCGCACTTCGCGAGATCTCGGTTCTGCGTGAGCTGGAACACCGCAACATTGTGAGTCTACTGGACTGTCTGCAAGAGGATGGAAAGCTCTTTCTCGTCTTTGAGTTCATGGATAAAGATCTCAAGCGTCACATGGAGCACACACTTGGCAAGCTCGAACCTGCACAGATCAAGAGCTTCTTGTACCAATTACTCAAGGGCCTCGCGTTCTCGCACTCGCGCGGCATCATGCATCGGTATGTGGCACTGGAAGATAATTGCAAGTTGCTGAATAGAATTTCTGACGTTCATTATGTTGTTATAAAGGGATTTGAAGCCGCAAAACTTGCTAGTGAATGCTACGGGAGAGCTCAAGATCGCCGACTTTGGTCTGGCGCGAGCCTTCAGCCTCCCCATCAAGAAATACACACACGAGGTGGTGACGCTTTGGTACCGTGCGCCCGAGATCTTATTGGGTCAGGAGGTGTACTCTCCGCCAGTGGATATTTGGTCTGTCGGTGTCATTTTTGCCGAGATGGTGTCCAAGAAGCCGCTTTTCCCAGGAGACTCCGAGATCGACCAGCTCTACCGCATCTTCAGGTAGTTTTTTGGGGATTTCGGCAGTATACGGTCACACAAGACTGACTTTTTATTGTGTCTTTTAGGAGCTTCGGCACGCCCAACGAGGCGACGTGGCCAGGTGTCACAAAGCTGCGCGACTACGCACCTACGTTCCCCAAGTGGAAGAAGAAAAACATGCGAGAGCTCTTCCCGCAGCTAGACGAGAGCGGACTCAACTTGCTGGAGGTACGAGGGCCATTGCACTAACTGCCTTCTTCCAAGGACTAACCTCGTGCGTGTTGACATTCCTGTATTTTTTGTAGTCTATGCTGCAGTATGACCCCGCTACAAGAATTAGTGCAAAAGAGGCCCTGCGCCACCCTTACTTCGATGACGTGGATTCCGAGTATTTGTAGGTCGTGGCTCATCGTGGTCGGCATGCTTGCAGCCAAGGCAGGCTTTCGATTTCATCTGAATAAGTTTACTTACTTTATCGTATTCTCAAGTATGTCAAGTTCATGAGTTGACGGTTGTGGTGGGGTGGCAGCTTCCTCAGCAGGTCGAATTTCTTGTGACGCCCTTAGTGCAGGATGATCCTGTCGGATAAAGGCATCGACGGAGGAAGAGCTTAGTGCGTGCACCACGCACGCCATCACGGAATAGTTAACTTACTTGTGCTGAAGTAAACGGGAGTTCTGCCATGCCCGCGATGGCAATCAGACTTGTATTATCTGGAGCAGAACCCAAAAAGTTAATGTGCTCGAGCGCACCACTACTTTCTGTGAATCGGTTAATGTCCGTGAGATGATTGAGCATTGCGTCGTGAACTTGAACCTCAGACGCCTCTGGGCTGTAGATGTCGCTGATCTGATGTTGCCACTCGTGTAGATGACTATCTGCAGCCAGTTCACCTAGTGACGGTCCACACCCCATCGAGTCGGCATGAAACATATCGCGAGTCCAGTAACCCAGTGGCGTTCTCGGAGGTTGTTTCCTGCCTAAAAAGCAGAATTGTGAGTAGAATTATCAAAGCCGCGAGGGTCGTCAAATCCTACCGAACTTCGAGTTGTTGCCGTCAGGAAACCTCGGTTGGCTAAGTATGAGCTCAACATCCCCGATGCTATCCATAATATCACGAAGAAAATCGTCCCTCTCCATCGGCTCCACCAAACCTGTTGATAGCGGTGGAGTTGTAAATTGGTGTACTTGATCACAATCTACAGCTTCATCAACATGTGCTGCTGCTTCAACACTACTCGGGTCTTTTGAATTGTCGGTTCCTTCTTGGTGGTTGGTTGTAGAAGTTTTATATTCCTTTGATGTAGGCACTTCTTCTACATGTAGAGCCGGCTCAGTGTCAGTTAGGGTGTGGCAACTTGCACCACCAGAGATACCAGCTTCGAGCATCGACGAGCGTGCTTTATCTGACAACTGTGAGCACAAGCGAGCTCTGACAACATCGCTGGCAGTACGATCAACCATATTTGGTAGTGAGTGCAGGCCACTTTGATAACTCTTTGCGTCAGCAAGAGATAGAGGTAAGTCGACGTCGAACGCCTCGTTCGTCTGAGCATCAAACACCAACGGTCCTGCCGTGGCTCGGCGAGGAGAACCACCGTCCCACGACTCGGTCAACTCGTCAAAAGTACCAAGTGATCTAGCAGGCGACCTGGTTGGCGAGCTCAATGGAGAAAAGTGAAGCCGCACCTCGTTCCACACTGAAGGAACCTGATCTTTCCTAGACGCTCGGCTTCGTCTTTTGTTATCCGCCAGCATTTTACGGAAGCGATCCAATTTCTCGGTTTGTTTTTTCTTGTGTTGTTGTCCTAAAAATCCTAAAATTGCGCTGACATCTTCATTCCGCTTCTTCAGCACCGATCCTTGACCTTCCATCGCGAAGATTAATATAACGAACTTGATGACGACTACAGTATCTCCATTGTTCTCGCGTGAGTTTGCACTTCCATCGAGTTCACCCCAACGAAGATCACAGGAGCAACGCATCAGAGTCTCGATAAATTCTGGAAAATTTATCTCCTCAGTCTCGGGAGAAGAACAGCACGAAAGACGCACAGCTTGTTCGAGCTCGCGGCGATGAAATAATTGAGGAAAGACACGAACTTGCTTCATGAGGCTGATAAACGAGTTGCTACTCATCCGATAATCCCGCGGTTTGTTTGTCTTTGAAGAGGTTTGGACAGCTTGGCGTAGAAAAAATTGGCCAAGCACGCGCATGTATTTTCTGATAGCAGGGATTAACTTCTCCAGGGCTACGTCCATGTCACGGGGCATAGATTCCCAAATCCAGAACGTCTTTGACTTTATCGGGCAAATTCGTGCTCTTTTCCGTTGCTCAATATGGGGTCGCAAGTGGCGTTGTGCTAGCCAGTCCAGTGCACAAAGCGGAGCAGTGTTGCTTTGTCGAAGACTATACGTTCTGTATGCCGGGTGACTGTCGACTAGCTGCTCCAGGAAGAGCTCGAGGTTCATCTGCACGTCGTCCTTATCTTTGTTGTACTTCCATTTGAAGCTGGTGTCGCACACTTTCAGCAGCTCGTCGATGTAAAAATCGTTTTGAAAAAGTGCCAAATCCCGAGCCATTCGAAAGCACACGCGGATTCGGGTTGATTCAACACTGGTTGTCTGATCCATGATACTATCAACGTAGGAAGCGACCACTTCCTTCACCATAGACGCATCCCAGAAATTGTCGCTGCTCTCATGGGTGGCAGCTTGAGCTCCACTTCCAGGGTGATCAGTTGCAACTCCCCTACTTAGCCGTAAAATGTCTGCTAGTGACCTTGCTTCGTTGTTACTGGAACTCACCACTTTGATCTGCTTTTTGTGCGCTGCTTTCCGGGCCTTAGTCAATTGAGGCTTCTGGCGTGAGTCCACATCCTCAGTTTTAGTAATTGACGTTAAACGGAGCGATGGCTGAGACTTGGTTGTGGAAGCATTACTTGCAGCACGAACTCCGTGCTCACACCTATGTGAGCCAGCATCTGGTGCTTTTAAATTTTCTAGCTCGTCTTGGTGTCTTGATTGGGTCGTCGGATAAGAGGATCCGCCTATAGAGGAGCCTTTAAATGTTTCCAGGCTTTGTTCAGAGCCGAGGTCTGGAGAAAATCGAACCCGTCGTTTAGCGGTGACAGTATGATCACTTTGCTTTTGGAATTTATCAGTCCCGGTAGCCGACACTTCATCATCGAAAAGAGGTAATACATTTTCTGGTCCCTTCGAGATAAATTGATGCGCGTGACTTGAGCCAGAAGAGTCGTTGCGGTGGAGATGATCTTTGAGCTTAGTAGCAGGGTGGACGAATATTGGAGAGTCAAAGCTCACTTTAATGCTAGAAGCAGCTAAACCTGGTTGCTGTGCTTTCCTGTTGCTAGTCTTCGATCTATCACGATGGGACTCGCCCTTTGAGCTGCAAACAGATTCTTCTTCCATATCTCCGTGATCAAAAGTAGTGCGCACTCTGTTATCTCCATCCATTCGAACCACGCGAGCTAATCGACGTTTGCTACTTGTCCCATTGAAAGACTCGCTTCGCAGAACCTCCCTGCCACTTTCCTGATAGTATCGTGAATAACTCGCGTACTCGGTGGGGTCCAGCATCCGTCGCATTCTTCGCATTGACTTTGCCCGAGCGATCGGAGAATCCTTTGCGATCACTCTTGTCTTTTCTTTCTTTTTATTGTTTCGCCTCACTTGGATCGCGTAGGCTTCTTGTTGAGGATGATAATACGAAAGCTTACCCATTGCTTGTTGCGCATCAACTAATACCTTTTCTTGCTTGGAATGGATGGTACTTTTCCACCATGATAGCATCACCTTTGAAATGAGACGACAGCTGAAATGTTCCCTGGCAAGGTTGCTATCGCTATTATAGCTAACAAACCACCTCCGAAACCAGATACTCAAACAATATCGCGCCGCCTTCTTCACCTTTAGCGCAAATTCTTCCAGCTCACGATGTACTTTATGCTTCCAAAACGATTGATTCTCCATAAGAATTCTCCTTCTTGCAACAAGACATTTCCATTCGTTCATCGTGCTTCGTTGTAGCTGATGGAGCCGTGATTCTCGAAAGCCGCGTAAGCGCATTCCCAGTCTATTGTTACCTTTTGATACCGCCAGCGCAACATGACGCCAGATGCGCAAAATACAACAAGCATTGTGAAAATTTCTCCAGTGCGACCAACAGCGTCGAGCTTGTCGGAACTGGGTCCTTTTGTGCAGGACCTTTATGCATCGATTTTTCTTGCAGATCTGTTTCCAGCGACACCAGGCACACGACACACTTGATGAGGCTGGATATATTCCGTGTACTTTTCGGAAGTAAATTAGCTTTAAAGTGAAAGCCTTTTGCCGCGCCGAATGCTTGTGCCAACCGATGAAGCACGTCCTTACTAGCTGGCGCTCTCGACTTTTCCTAAGTCTGAATACGCTCTGACGAACGTCACACTCGTCTCGCCATTGAAAGAGACACAATTTTTGTAGCTTCAGTTCACGCTGATAACTTACTGCTTCGCCGCAGCGACGTACACGACGGCGGTATGATGAGCTAAACCGCCAACCTCGAATGACTCGAGTGCAAAGTTTTCGCTCATGGACCCTCTCAGCTAACTCATTTATAGTTTCGACCTTTTTCCACTTTTCCCCTCGAGATTTCCAGTGACCAAAGTAACCTTCCATAGTCCTTCTGCGTCTGCAAAACCTAATATCACACAAACGAGACTCCACTTTGACTTGTCGGTGCCACACATGGAATACTTCGCGCTTCTTACGCTCTAGAAAGTGGCGCTCACAGCGAAGACGCTGTCGACATACAGCAACGTATATTACCCAGCGATCCCATGCGCGCCGACTCGGATTGAAGGTCGATTTTTGGAATCCAGGACTGCGTTGTAAATGGTGTACCTTCAGTAACATTCTTTTACACGACTGTGTCAAGGAACACCATGCTCTAAAATGTCGTTTCTTTGAGCAAATTCGCATATTTTGTCGGAGTTGATGGGCTCGAAGAGAGCTCTGAGTGTTTCGATACACAGAATCCCACAGAGAAATCACACCTCGCCGCAGTGAATGGAGTCGGTAGCGTTCTTGAGCTTTGGAAAGTCGTTGAGCGTGTTCCAAACGCAGCTTATAGTAGGTTTTCCATCCTTCAAAAGCACACTTGCAGCAGAACTTCCCATGAAGACCTTTTGCTCGCTCTTTCTGAAGAAAACTAGTCTGTTGGAGACGTCGGAACCGCTTCCAGGCCTCGAAATATCGTACTGTAAGAACTGTACATGAATGCTTCAGTGCCAATCTTGTGCGGTGAACTATAACCCAGCAGTCGAGCCAAACGCGTCGAAGGAGACGCTTCTGCCATATTTTTCGCATTCGATTAATGTCATTTCTCAAGCGTCTTCTCTCCATTATCCAGACGCGGAGACAGTTAACAGCTGCAGCTAGACGACGATGGTTGAGCATCGTATGTACGTATTTGCAGTAAACACTAAATACAACTCTGTTCTTGAAGGCTGTGAAGTATACTCGACGAATACGTTTTTCACGAGTTTTCCTCACTTGATCACCAATCTGAAAAGCTCTTGCTATTGATTTCCACGCTAAAAAATGCTGCCAGAGTTCTCGATAAATGATATTTGAGCGCAATCGCTCTACGTGATTAATCGTTCGAGCAACGTCACACCACAACAAAAAATACCTCCTTCGCCTCACATCAAACTGCACTCTCCACGACAGCTTTTTGTCACGATTTGACGCATACGTGAACGCCCTCCATCGTTGAAGCAGTTCACGCTTCCGTCTAAGATTAACCTTCAGCTGATACTGTACACACATGGAGCGTTGTCGCTCCTGAATTGCACACAATTTAAGCATAGCCGTCACGCATCTGCGTACTGCGAGGGAATCTTGGCGAGCTCGGAACGCGTGAATACGCAGCTCAGTCCACGCAAAATGCACCAGTCGATGATGAATACAAAGTGCTCGCTGAGCTAAAACAATATTAGTATACTTCCTCCGTTTGGTGAATTGGATCCAGCGCCTCCAAACTCGCTGCTGAATTAACCGCCCCACAAAGGAGCTCCGACCCAAATTTAGTAGCCTTTGCAGCGCACAGGATCGATGTTTCCATAGAGTCCAGCGTGAAATCGCACGAGATAATTTCCACGAATCAGCGAACTGCTGCTTCTCATGTTCATTTCTCCGTTGCTTCAGAAAAGAAGCCCACTTTGTCATAATATTCTGCTTCAAAAACGCATCTGCGCTTGCAGTGTATCGAGCTTTCTTTCTCCGATACCTGATGAAGATTTTCCATTGCCGAAACCACATGCGTAGCGCGCGACGGTTTTGTTTAATAGACTTTGAGCTTGAAGATGAAGACGAAGAATCAGATGAACGCAGACGGGAACGAAGTCGAGGCCTGAACTGCTGTCTGTGCCCTGAAGACGATATCCCGCTGCTATCTCCTTCGTTGAATTCACTACCAGGTCGTTGGCTAGCATCCGAATCACCTACCGAAGACTGCAGCATCCTCGACTGTTGTGGAAATAAAACCGAAGGAGGTGGTAGAGCTGCCAAGAAGGCATCATGTCGTTCTTCTCTCTCACTTCGACTGGGCTCTTCATCATCCGAACTGCGCAACAATATCCCCAATTCGTATAATATCTCGAGTTGGGATCTCGCCTGCGCCTCCGTCGACCCTTTCGCCATGTTTCTGTTGCGCCAACGAACTCAGAGTCTCAAAGTTCTCTCAGCCGTTGCAAGTAAATTATCAAAAGTCGCGTCTTCAACGTTGACTTGAAAATAATTATCACGACCAATTATTGCTATTGGGCAAACTAACAGGCTACAAAAATAGTAATTTTAAAATCAAGACGTATTAAATTACTAAAATACTATGAATGACAACGTGCAGCCTGATATCTGGCGGGATTCGCTGGTGCGTTACTTGGGCTATACGAATGAGTTAGGCGAGTCCTTCCGCCCCATTGTGCCGCGTATGGTAGTCCCCTCCTACTTTGTCGCTTTTGGATACGTTTTGGGGGACACGTTTGACAAGGCCACCAAGGCGCATGTGAAAGCTGTGGAGCAGCAAGTTTCTCGTCGCAAACGCAATGCTCTCGTTGCGGACGCGACGGTGGACACACTAGCGTGGCAGACCATGGCTAGCGTCGTGATTCCTGGCTTCACCATTAACCGAGTGGTAGGGGATTCCTCAGCACGAGGATAAACCGGGGGGGGGGGTCTGATTCTAACGCAGTTTTACGCTTCAGGTTGCGACGAGCGTGCTCATGGTGCAGCAAGAGACCAAGAACTTACTGGTAGTGCGTCGGTGGGCCCCTACTGCCATTGGACTGGGAGTTATTCCATTGATCATCCACCCGATTGACAGCCTCGTGGATCTAGCGATGGACAAGACGGTGCGCAAGTGGTCCAAGACTTTGGTTGATACCATTGGCTAATGGTTCAAGTAGTTTTAAGCAGATGCACAGTAACTAGCTTTCTTCAGCATTATCTTGTACTAAGCGTAATCAATGACTGGTAGATTGTCGATTCAAACATGAGCACTTGATTTCGTCGAGCCTAACTGTGCTGGTCTGCACACTTGAGGGCAAAACCAGGTGGAGTCCTTTTCTCAGCTCGTCCAGCTTAGACGTACAAAGTTCATGTTGACACTTTCCAATTTGTTCTCTTAGACACGAATCCAACGAAAATCTACAACGTAAGTTCATAACCACTACAGTGCCATCGCAACCTCGATGACCACCGGCAGATTCCATGTTCAATCTTGCGGCCTCTTCTGGTAAGTTCATGTAGTACTTGTCACGTGCAGGCTTCAAATATCTTAATGGGGTTTCTCTTTGGGCTGAAGGTTCCTCACCAACGTGTACTTGGTACACGCCGCAGTAGTCGACGCCAGGTACCCCACCGAAGCTGCGTTCAACCTCATTATCCATCGCCCGCGCATCGCTGGTGGGGATCTGACGATTCCGATCGATTCCAGCGTGAGACTTGTCATATGTTGTCGCAAGGAAGCCCCACGCAACACCATCCGTCTCCGCTACGGCAAAATGCGCAAGTGTCTCGTCATACGCGCGTCCGACTCGCTCGAGCGCGAAAAGTGGCTGGTCGGGATCATACAAGCCATGGCAGCAGCCCAGAACCTCGGTCCGTCCGCAACGGTCCTCGACACCTCACCCGGGACATCATTCGAAACTGCAGCATTACATTGTTTCGAACCGGTGAAGAAACCGGCCGCGGGAGCTCAACTGGAAACGAGTCTTGTTCAGTCGAGCATCGACACCGTCAGCTCATCGACCGATCGCCTGGACGACGTCATCCCTCTACTTCAGCGTGCGTCTAGCGCATCGAGTTTTTTTGCTCCAATCGACGTGATTCAACATCGTTCAAGCGAAGATCAACCTCGAGCCAGCAGCGCTCATCGGCGGCGTGCACGACAGTATGTACGCTCTGCTATGCACTTCCTCACCACTTTCCGGTGAGGAGCGCTCCTCCATCAAAGAGAGCCACTAAGAACGTCGACAATCACGACGAGATCAATCCACGCGACGCGAGAGAGATCAATTTCTAATCGACGTTCATCGTTTCATAATATTTTGAGTTTCCAGTAGCATCAAATGAATTACTTCGAGCAGCTTACCCCGTCTCCCGATCAGTTTGGCCATGTAGCGCTACAGTAAACACCACATCTTCATAGTATTGTGGCAACCTGTTAGTTATACCGGTGACTCTGCTGTCGACGTCTGATGCCACCTACATGTCTTCTTTACCAGAGAAGATCGACAGGATCGTGTGCACCGTGGTGTCTTCAAGCAGGAACGGTATCACTTCCGCCGTCGCAACACTGTACTTACGATGGCCAATGACACGCATCGCGGCGGTGGTTAGTCCACTGTGCGTCACCACACCAACACGCACTGACTTGTGACCGTAGAAGACGCGGTTCAGGAAGATGCGAGCGCGGTCGTTGATGTGCAGCTCGGTCTCACGATGATCAGGCGTCCACCACGGGTCTGCATCACTCCAGATATCACTGAAGTCGATACTTGGGTACAGCTCGGCCTTGGCGGAGATGGTGCCGCGTAAGTCGCACGTGCAGACGCCGATGGTCTCGCGGGGCCATTCCATCGACCGCTTCGGGATCTCGTGGTGATTCTGGCACGCGATCATTGCCGTATGTAGTGTACGCTCCAACGGGGAAACCACGACTTCCTCCAGGCTCAGTCCTCTCTTAAGCTCCTCGTCGATCCTTTCCGACGCTTTGACAGCCTGTTGCATCCCAAGTTTCGTCAACTTGGCGTCAGTATATTTCGCTAGTTTGCTGTAGAATCTGTCCCAGGCTTCGGTGCCGTAAGTGGCTTCGGCGACGTTGTGGAGGCCTTCTCCATGACGTAAGAAGAGGAACAACTTGACGTCCACGCCTTGAGCGGCTCGTGCAGCAATGTAGGCGTCTACATCCGTCCACGTGACGTTGTCAAGTAGCCCGAGATGCCTTGAATTTGAAGGTGGAATCTCCACGGACGGGGTACCTTGTTTAAAGAAGCCCGGGACGTACCGAAGAGTGAACGGCACGTTGGACTCGCTGGGTGGAGACAGGGCCTGAAACGGGGCGATGACTAGTGCGACAAGGACGAGCAACAACGTCTGGAAGCGCATGATGCCAGCAAAGAAGCTTTTCGTCTTCAACGGGATCTTTAATATTAAAATGAGCACACACGTGACGTACGTGCGTGAACACGTGGCCAATGAGGCACAACCTGTTGGCTCGCTAAAATAAGCTAAAAAGACGGCCGTTGTGCAGCTCCCCAGAGGTTACCCTGGCCGACAGAAGTATGGTCGTTTTCGCGAGTAGTGTGTGGTGTGCATCGGAACACCTTGCGGCTAACCACGCGCCATCACCGCTGAGATCTTCCGTCGAGGTTTATGCCTGGGAGTTTGCGTCTTCGACCGATGGAGGGAAATAGACGATGTGGATGCTCATGTCGAAGATACTGCAGCACGCGCTTGGATAGCTGACAAAATGAAGACGACATGCGGCTTGCAATACGTTCAGCAATTTTACGATATGTAGCAACCCAGTGTATACTTTTTTACAAGGCATGTTGTTGTTATTGCTGTACTAAAATAAACCTGGATTGAGCTCGAGACTTAAAGCTAGCCGACTCTGGCATTTTTTTTTACAGGATATCAACCGTTTGTGGGGATTGCCGGGGTAACGAAAGAGCACCGTGTTGCCACCAAGCAGGTAGGCACCGCTTGCTGTTTGTTTCCTGACCACTTTCTGATTATAAAACTCTCTTGGTGAACACTTTTCACACGAAAAGCGTTAATTTCACGAATTATTGCCGATACCCCGCGGTGCAAATCACGACTGTTACAATCGACTGGCGTTTGATCAACAACAAGTTCGAAGCTAGACGAACGAGGTCTTATGAAGACTCTTAACCTGCATGACGGTGAAAGGAATGAATGCTTGCGAAATGGTCTGACCTAAAAGCTAAAACATCTCTGTCGCCATGGCGTCGCTGCGGCCGACTAGATGCAAACAACCATATATTGTATTTCTGGGTCAACACCATGAAAAAATTCATGTTGCTTCATTAATTAAAGCATGTATCTATCTCATGGTTCGAGATGCTGTGGTATCCACAAGGCAGGATTGATATGTTGCGCATCGTGGCCTTTAGCCAGCAGACGCAATCATCTGGCCGACCGAAATGAAGAGCTGCATGGCTGCAGGCAGATTTCGTCGAACCATCCGCCGAAGCGAACTTGCTGGAGTAGCATGGCTAACGCTGGGTCTTCGCGGATATGTCGATGTGTGTTGGCTTGGTCCGCTGGCTGAAGTAGACGCCTTTACATCGCTTTGAGACAAGGCCCGAAGAGTAGCGTGCTCATCAGCCTTACGATATACTGACAATGCTGCTGCGATTGCAGCTACCCACTGTTCTCGTTCTTGTGGACCAGAGGCGCGCAGAACAAGTTTTTTGTTGCTCGAACCGTGGGTAAGCCGAATGGTGTTGTAGTAGACATCCCTACTCCTTATTTTTGCAAATTTCACAGTAAAATTGAGAGGAATCGTCATCGTCCCGCCTGCGATCCGCGGACGCAGAATAACGAGGCTGTAGATCGCCTGGGTAGCATGCTTACTACCAGCGAATTTTGCTTGCTGAGTGCAGGCTAGGTACACGGTGCTCAAAAACCTGTCCACAATCGAACAAATTAACGTGCTATTTGCTCGGAATGTAATCGGCGACAGCTTACCAAAGGCGAGAGCAGGATTGGACGTAGACTTTACCATACGTCATTGCGAGGATTTGCCGAAAGTCACTAAAGCGTATCTCTTCCGGTACAGCGCAATATTCATAGAACTCTGTTTGATGATCGGGCAATAGGCGAAAGTGTTGCTGCGCCTACCATATGACTCTCAAATGCATGTGTATCAATTTCACGCTCAAGAAATATCTCTCCAAATCCAGTGATCGCAATTGCTACTAAGCAAGCCAGTACTCGCAATATGGAAATGAATGGCTCTTAACGAGGAAACGCATTTGTCTCCATAATTTCGTTGTGACAGGGATGCGGGACATCAGAATTATCAATCGACTATTAGCTAATCGACGTAAAAACTGTCATTTCAGTAATTTTACTGAAACCAATAGTCCATGAGGTCAAAGCTGCAAAACGATTGAATCGAGGAAAAATAAAAAATGCTGAATGGAGGGGCAATACCAGGGATCGGAGTATATTAATTAGATTGACGGTGAGGTGGCCTTCCCAATCAATATTGTCACAATTACATAATTCTTGAATTGTTTTTGCAATATCGATATTTAAGGTGTATTTAATGCCAGGGCATCCTCGATGCTGTCGAACATCTTTACTGGATTTGGTATGCGTGTTATTTAGAGCTGATTAGGGTAAACAGGTTCGTACATGTACTTGTATCTGCAAGAAGTGTAAGACCATGTTAGTGGATCTACATGCGTTGTAAGCGCACAAAAAAGCAAAAGAGATTTGACCAGTAGAAAGAAATTTGATATTAATAGTACTATTTTTAATTTAAAATATCAATACAAATACAGTTTTTAAAAGTAAACATAGTATTTCAATATTAACTCGAAAATTTGAGAAATACTAAACTAGATGATAATATGATATGTCCCACTTAAGTAAGTTTCTTGTCCGTCTACATCGTGCACCTGCAACCTGTGACGCTAGATTAATGCGCTCAGCAGTGTCAACACACCACACCAACCTTGCCGTCACTCTTAGTCAGGGGTAAATGATACATGTAGCTCCAAAATTGGCAAAGTTAACCAGCTAATATAAAAAATATTACCTAATATTTTCTAAGGAGACAAAAATGATATTTGTTTAAATATTATCTTAATATTTGTTAATACGATATTATGTTTTTTGACGATTGCGTACTCGGTTTAGCCCACCAATAATTTGTCGTTAAATTTCGACTTGCGGGTATATTACTAATCATAGTGTGCCGGAACTGGCGCGGGCCACCATAAAGGCCCGGCACCCAAAAACCCTAAGATAATACATATGCTAAACTGAAGATAGCTTAGCAAATGCACATTCAAAATAAAAGTTTCGATCCGTCAATTAAGAACAGAGCTGCAGGAAGAGAGGTCGCCGGACGGCGTTCTCGCACTTGGAGAACCTGCTGCTGTCGCTGCGCTCACCGGCGAAAAGAAGGTGAGGATCGATGGACTCGCCTTGTGTGGAGAGTATCAACTTTGTCTGCTATCATCCGCTTCAGTCTCTCTATCATGCACCCGCCTACACCGTACATAGCTCGGATCTGCGCGTTGGGAACGCCTTGTCGGATGAGACCAAGGACCCTTGGTCGTGCTCTGACCCTTTCCACTTCGAGTCGGGTGAGCGAAACGTGCTCTGCAGCCGCTTGACTTCGGCTTCGCCAAGCCTAGCATATGCTCGCTACAGCGGTGTAGGTTTGTGGCATTGTGCAAGATCTCGCTTGGGTTTCGTTTGAGTCGAGCCACCACCACCACCTGGTATGTCGCCCAAAACGTCAGATCTTTCAATGCAACCCCTCAAAACAAATTTTAGTCAGATTGGCGACCTTTTTTGCGACGACCCGGGCCACCGCCAAATGGGTCAATTGTGAGAGTGACGGCAAGGTTGGCGTTCAGTGCTGGGTGCATTAATCAAGCGTCGCAGCTTGCAGGCTTGTGAGACACACCACGTGAACGAGGCTAGCAGAAAACTTAAACAAGTATCTCGATTCTACATGTACTCTACCCCCTTCAAACAACTGCGGTTTTTGCCTGTGTTACAGTGACAACGAAATCGTCATTTTTAAAGCAAGTCATCACTATCACGTCATAGAACCTGACCTTAAGAGTTCTTAGGCGAGCACTTGATCAACTGATAGGAACAGTGGTGGACTCGGCAGAGGTATTTTGTCAAGCGATATGTTCATGAATCGTTGTGACCGGAGTTCGTTGGCCGAGTCAGCTGTAGAATGCTGCCGTTTCGATGTCCAGGACTCGAAATATATGACTGGATGTCATAATGAAAGGCACTTTCTAGTGATTGTAAGCTAATGTGATGTGCTTTAGAGCTCTTTACTTAGAATTGAACAGCTCAGAGGAGATACGTCCAACAGAATGCAGATAATTGTCGTAACGGATGAAATGAGTTTGTGTCTGTAAGCCCATTTTTTTAACGTTACTTATTTAGTGCTTTGCAGATGGAATGTCCATCCGTTTTATATCATAGATCGAGCATGGCCGGAGCATAAAACCACGCGTAAAAATGAGATGGGAAGAGACGGGCATCGATTTGTTTTATCTGTGATCGAATTACCTTTTCAAAACGGCAAAAAGGGTCGATGTACAGGATATCTATGCGGATTTGGTGTTTGCTAGATCCCGAGCGGTCGATTTGGGTGCCGTAACTCGATTTGTCAGCCAGTCTACATGTAGCTAGATCGATTTGTACTTTTTATAGACCTCGATTTAATAAGATGACCTCTATTTATTATAAATCAAGCATTAGGATAAGTGGAAAGGACAAACGCATTAACCCTTTCGTGGTCAAACGCGGCAAAATGCCGCGTTTGACATGTTTTTCAAAAGAGGGTGGGAAAACGACCCTTTAAACGCGGCATTTTGCCGCGTTCTACAAAATCCACACCTTGTTTTGTTTTTGCCAATCAGATCTTCGAATCACGGCTTCTGATAGATCCTTTTGTACCGACTGGCGAAACTGAGTTGTGAATATCGCGAGAGCGCGTATCTTTTTCGGCCAGTATAGCGTCATTTTTGCAGTTCGGCTGGTAGCCGCATGAAACGCAAGAGAAAAAGGTGTTGTAAACAAGGCTAGCAGATCCTAAGACCTATCATAAAATTTTGGTCGAGGCTTCAGCCCCAGATCCACTAATCGTGCTGGTATCAACTATAGTATTCCTAGGTTAGATGCATGCCTTCTCTCTCAGTATGTTTTGCTGTGCGGACCAACTTCACCGACGCACAAGACAAACAAATTGTAGCGCTTGCACTCGAGTATGAATCCCAACACAAGCGAGTAGAATGGAAGGAGGTGTCGCGGGCCATGAGAAGTAAACATTCTGTCCAGAACCGGCTGCGTGCTCTGAAGCGCACGTACATCCGCGATATCTTCAGCAACGTTTCGGCCGCGGACGTTCGTCAACAAGCTGGAAATACGGATGAGAACGCAGGTGAGATGCTGCCTGCCGCTATATCAAGCGTGATTCAAATGATTGGAGCTGTGCATCAAGACGACGTATTTCTTGACATTAATGCTGGCCTGGGGAATGTTGCAGCGCAGCTTGCGATTCAGACGATTGCACGCCAATGCTTAGGAATCAAGAAACGACCGGAGATTTTTTTCGAGGTGTTCATTGTTTGCGAGCGCATGTACTAAGGCTGCACGAAGTGTTTTTGAGCCAAGGAGACGCTCTTGATACGCCACTTTCGTCGCGTTTACCATTTCAGCGTGCATCAATAGTTCTTCTAAACGATTTCCTGTT